TATACGTTAGCATGCTGCTAGCTTCTTCAGTGAGTTGAACAAGGTGTAGACCCCACAAACCCTTTATGAACCATATGTTTTAGGATTTTATGTAAATCTATAATTTTAAACCATAAAGAATATTTTAGCTGACAGTTTCATACACAAAACCATAAGTTCACTTACTCAGAGTTGAGTCTTTATCCTCTAAAATTGCATCAATGGAGCTTCAGTGTTTGGATTTGAACCTGTGATGTAGCCTGCTTGATAAGCTAACGCTAGCTTCTGAACCCTGCTAAAAAAAAAAAAACAGTAATATGCATTAAAAGCTGGTCCGGTGCTGGTTTAGCTGGTCACCCAGCATACCGGCATCCAAAACACAACATACATATTCGTTAGTGACCAGCTATCCTAGCCTATGCTGGTAGTTAGCAGAGTATGCTAATGAGGATGGTGTAGTGGAGACTAGCTAAGCTAATGGCTCCATAGAGTGGAGTCTTTCGCTAAACTCGAGTAAATCTTGAGCCTGTGCTGTGGTTTGTGAAGATCTAGCATGTTAGCTACTGCTATGGGCAGCTCTACATCATATTAGACATATTAGCTTTTTAGAATGATTTGGAACCTAAATTTCACACCATTGCAATTTTAAACACCAACATCATTCATCTCTTTTAGTGAACTGGGTTTTAAGTACAGGAGGTAAGTTTTAAGAGGAATTTCGGTCCCACTTTATATTAAGTGTCTCTAATAACTGTGTAGTTACATGTGGACAACATATGCAACAACAATTTAACTACTAATGATTTAGTCACTGTTACAGATGGATTGCAGACATACACCTTATGTAATTGCAGATCTGTATCAACTTCAGTTTTGCCTCATGTAATTACACAAGTGTAATAACAAATGTAATTACATTCGTAATCAGACTGGAACAGCATTTTTTTTTTCAGTTTTTCTTTCCAGCATTAAAAGGAAGTATGTAATAACTTACATTAAGACATTACTTACACTGGATCTGCTAGCTTTCCGAATATTTAGCTAGCATGTATGATGCTGGTGCTGCGGCACTGTAACCAATTTCTACTTCAAACCATTCTGTAATGTGACAGAACAGCAGACGTCCCCTTATCTTAACATGTAACTTTTATGACATTAATTAAACGTGTTGCATTTCCCCCCAAAGCAACGTCTATATTACCACTGCATTATTACACAGTACCTACATAACAACTACACAGGAACTGTCCACTTAAAGTGTAACTTTAACACTGCACTACAGGAAAGTCCCTGTGTAGAAGATACAAATGTGTAATTACATATGCTGTTCTTCTGTAATCCATCTGTAACACTGACTAAATGATCAGTAGTTACAGTGTTGTTGCATATGTTATTCATGTGTAACTACACAGTTATTAGAGACAATATAAAGTGGGACCGGAATTTCTTTTCACTCAACCTTGCTGGCCTCCTAGCCTTGTAGCGCCAGTGTGAAAGAACTATTACCTTTGAGTAAAGAGGTAAATTGCGGACATTTGATTCTTTTGTTTTGCCAAACTACTCCTTCAACCCCTAAAACCTGCTGTTTGTTTTACATGTAGTTACAGAATAATAAGCTTCCGTATGTAATAGGATTTTAAGGGGTTAATACATTGAACGGACTCACAAGCACTTTCATGTACACTTCCTGTTTGTGTCCCTACCTATAGGTACCTCTCCTTGATATCCTACGCTAAGCTACTTCAGATCTTCGGCCTTTGGAGGGGTTTAAGAATTAAGTCATGAACTGTTGTTTATGCCCCCTTCCCCCACCAAACCCAACTGATCAGAATGCTTTCCAGGTAGGAAACATTTTAGCATATATCGGCCCACTGGATAAGGTTTAGCGCCCTGCTGAGTGACCACCCTCGGACCACCCAGACTGTCAGACACACAAGGTCTAACTAGTTTTTAATCTCCTGAAGCAGATTTTAAATGTACATAACCTTTAATTTTTGGAAAATAAACTAAGACTTATATTACGAACAATTGGGAGAACTGGGATTGCTATTTTTTATCTATATACCTAATTTACAAAAGATAAGCAAAGAAAGAAATGAAGGAAAAATAAGTGAGCGCAAAACAAGCACTGAAAAGAACCAGTGGGCCGCCAGCTTTACCGTCAGTGGACCACCGTTCGGACAAAACAAAACAAGTACAGAGAAACAGACATAAGAAAACAGAAGCCTGTCCAGCAAAGGAAACCATCAAGAGAGATGAAAAAAAGGAAAACAACGCTGGAAGGTTAGCTCCGCTCACGTTAGCGTAGTAAGGAAAGGAGCATTCTGATACAGGTAATTAGCGCTAATCCCCTCAAGCCACAGCGGGACGTCCTCACCATGCATCGGACTGATCTTCCAGTCAACACATTTAAATTAATGAGTGAGTGAGCACAGGCTTCGGTTCAGGGAGTAATCCCATTCCCGTCGGAATGCCGTCCATATGCTCCGACTGCTTGTTTCTCCAAGCGCATTCAAGGCCAGATCAGGAACTGGTTACTGGAAAAGGATATTAGCACTGCAATATCCTTTTCCAGTAACCACAACAGTGTAGGAAGATATCAGATTTACAGTTTTCCCTGGTAACCCCAACTGTAGTTCATCAGCCAAGACAGTTGGGTGTCTGAAGTTTGTCTCGAGCTACAAGCCTATTGGCTAATGAGTAATGGAAGCTCGTTACTGCAGTTAGCACTGCGCCAACTGCACACAACTGCAGAATAAGAACTGAACCCTCATATTATTCTTGGGGTCAGTTTGACCCCATTCAAGGTTTGTCTTCAAATGATTGACTGTTTTTTTTTTTGTTTTGTTTTTTTTTGTAAAGAAACAAAGTACCTGACACAAACCTGAGCAACAATTTTAATTATAATAATTTTCTGGAGATTTTAATAGCTGGATAAAGATAACTTCAGACAACAAACATGTTTTGGCGTATCGACGACAATTTGAGGTTAGGAAAATCATGGTAATTTGACTTTTTCCAAACTATTCCTTTAAAGTCATTAGTGTATTTTGTAAACATCTTTCTTTATATTGTGGTTTATGTAAAGGACACGACTTCTGGGGACAACAACTTTCATTATATATTTTATAATATTTATTTGGCATTTGTCTTCGTTGTCATTTAAATCATATAATTCACAGTCATGTATAGATTATTGCAGTTAAAATTGCAGATTTTTTTTTTTCTTCTGTGGTGCTTGAAATTCTAATTAATTGATTTAAAAGCCAATATTGCTAAATTGATGCTCGAGAAGGTGTAATTGTTAAAATAACTCGTTTAATTTTAAGATTTAAATAAATTGTAACCCTAACATGTTTTTCAAGTGTATAAAATTTTCCAAAAGATCAAAAAATAATCAACAGAGAAAATGGGCCTCCACCTGGAAGACCTGGTAGACACCAAAACTGCCCCCATCAGATAAACAGCACTTAAAGCTTTCATCTCTGAGAGAGAGGAGAAAATCAAGCTGCTTTAGATCTGAAAACATCCACAGGTCCTTCCACTGTGAGAAGACGACTCAGCGCTGTGGGTCTGAAAGGATGTGTAGCTGTCAAGAAGAACCTCACTGAGAAAAGGAGACGGACACATCAAACAAAGAAGCTGAACCACCAGTCCAGACCTCAACATCACAGAATGTGTTACAAATACTTGAAGCAGAAAGTACAACCAACCTCTGAGAGTGAACTTGGAAAAAGGTGTGGAACAATATCCCTGCAGGTTTCTTTAAAAAACAAAGTGAGTCTCCTGAAAAGAACGGAAAGGTGGGCACACTAAATTCTTAAAGTTTTGATATTATATCTTAAAACATTCAAACAAACGCAAACATTATAGTGGCATAAATAAATAAATAAATAAACAGACCTCTGATGTCTGTGTAGATGGAAGTGCATTCTCACATGGGGCTACGGTACGTTACACAGTGTCTGACTTTCTGGAGACTGGTGCAGACTTTCATCTTATGGCTGGACATCCCTCTAGGACCCCCACTGTGGCTGAGAACGAGTTTACACAGACATCCAATGGCATCCAATTAACCCTGAAATGCTTAATATTCTGACCTGCTCTCAGGCCAATTACACACATATGGCTAACCCCTATTATTCCTAGCCTGGAGAACAAAACATGCATAAAAACTCATCAATCTTGTCTGGGACGAGAGGGCTGATAGGCCACACTCACTCACACACATTATCTAGGCCGCCTTTCCTTCTGGGTTGTGGGGGGAGCTGGAGCCTATCCCAGCGGTCACTGGGTAGAAGGCCTGCCTTGTTAACATTTTGGTGGAGAGGTACATGGACGTCCTAAGGCAAAATAGTCCCGAAAGAAAATGTAGTTTTAGATTGATCACTATTTTACCATTAACGTTACATATAAAAACTTGTGTAGGTTCACTGGTGGTTGTAGATGGTAAATAAAATGGCTATGTTGGTGAATGGACATCATGACCCCTGGATCCTATCAGAACCACTCGGGGCGATATCTCACTGGGTAGACTACATGGAATTTTTTACTAAAAATTGGTGGAACTCCTTAGAATGGGCAAAAACTCACAGCACAGCACCAAACAGTAGCAGCGACCACTTCGAAGCCTAAATTTCGTCATTAATTTTGTCCATTTTCAAAGATAATTGTAGTTATATAATATATAGTGTCAGAAACCGCATAAGCAAGTCTTTGAAAGATGACATACCAACTTGACACTCTTTGAGATGAATATGTGACAATTTAGACAAGCAGTTATTGCCGTGCTAATTGGTGTACATACAGTTTCATCACTTGTTAGCACCATTAGCCTCTTAGCTCCAGTACAGAATTAAAGAAGCAAACCAGTCATGGCATGGCTGTTTGACTAAATTGAGGGGAATGTGTTTGTGCTGATGCCAGCCAGCTATTCAATGAGCTACATTCAAAAACAGTTGAGAAAAATACTCTCAACGTTATTAGAACAATTATTAAAGCAGCACACAATCCTCTTTAGAAACAATTCTTCCTTTATTCGGATAAACATTTTTTCCCTTCATACATTACAAAACTGCACATACACTGAAAAATATATATAATTAAAATAAATTAACAAGAAATATAAATACAAATACTTTCTCTATTAGTATAAAACAAGGCCAAGATAGTTGCTCAAGTGCTGCTCGGTTCCCATGGGTTGCATCAAGTCAGCCGCTGCCCTGCTCGGCTCCTCCTCCTTGGCGCCGGTACAGCTGAAGCACCAGCTCGCGTAACTCCTCCCTCTTCCGCCGGACCTGTTGCCGTGGAAACCAGCGTTCCAATCGAAGTGGGAGATCAAAGTGTACCACTGGATTCTTTGGAACAAAAAAAAAAGGTAGTTAGGCTTTGACTTATAAATCTCATAGACAGACGACAGCGTTTCTCAGCTCTGTGTACTTTGTGGAGCACACAGCGTGCTGAAGCCACATGAAAGCATCTGTTAGAACGGTATGTGATGTTTGTGGTTGCTTTCAAGAGGCCCCCATGTTCTTTAGCATTGTGTTTGGCTCAGGAGATACTCGGATCATCGGTGCAACTGGAGAGGAGGCTCTTAGCGCTGAAAACGGAGCCGAGACAAAGACCACAGCGTTCAAGCTGGAAGATCTGGCAGCAATTCAACCACAAGCAGCTGAGGAATATGTGCTGTTCTTCTAAGCATGCTGTGCATGTTCATAAGCCAGTCCTTCTCGGTTCAAGATAAAAGTGCCAAAAACGGGTTCTTTGGAGAGATGACATAGAAGAACTCCTTTTGGTTCCCTAAAGAACCTTTCTTTAAAAACTGGCTCTTCCTAATCCTGGTCCTGGAGTTCAGATCCAACACACCTGGCTATGATATTCAGATGTCCCTGAAGGCCTTGATTACCTGGATCAGGTGGGTTAGATTAGAGTTAGAGAGAAACCTTGCATGGTGGTAGATCTTCAGAACCAGGCCTGGGCACCCTGGCTCTACAGCATCACTCTGAGGCCCCATTTCTGGCACCTTTATTTCACGTTGAGGGGAAAGGTATTTTAATACTTGCTTTTGTTATTTAATATACTTCCAGTGCTTAAATTAGTTACAAGCGTCTCTCTGGCTACGTTCACATTCCAAGCCTCATTGCTCAAATCCAATTTTTTGCTCAAATCCGATCTCTCTGACATGATGGTTCACACTCATGTGAACGAACCGGCGTCCTGAAATGACCCTCATGGCACATCCTACTCAGTAACGTCATGTGAATGAATCACGTTCATCATCAGCACAAACTATCGAGCAGAACGAGCTTCGCTGAGAAGATCATTAACTCTGATCAGTTCTCAGCTTCATTATTAGAGCGAGATGAAGGAGAAAAGGGTGAGATGAGCTGCTTTTCCTCCGTTTACAGGCTTTAACTTCTGTTCAGCGCTGCCGCCATGGTAACGCTGAATGATGGAGTGGAAAAAAAAGCACATGAATTCCGATCTTTGCGTCATATTAAGGTCACATGGCCATGAATCGGATACATATCCGATCTAGGACCACATATGAAAGTGACTGAGGTCAGATATGAAAAGATCAGATTTTTGTGTCAACACAGCCTTGAAAACATCAGATCTGAGTCACATTAGGGCAAAAAATCGGATTTGTGCCACTTTAGTCTGGTAACGTGAACATAGCCTCTGATGAACTCTCAAGTTTCAAAATCCTTCATACATTTTCAATGGGATTCAAGTCAGCAGACTGGCTAGGCCATTTAAGCACCTTCACCTTATTTTTTCATAGAAACTTTGAGTTATTTTGGCCTTATGTTTGGGATCATTGCCTTGAAACGTTCATTTTCTCCCCACACTTGGGGTAGCGCCATTTTTGCAGCAAATAAGGGTTGAGTAATGTAACAATGTGGTGGGCTGAAAACTGGACTACACACTGTATTTTGGTGAGTGCTTGGAAAGACCTATACATTTATTTTTGTGTATGCTAAAGTGGGCAGGGATTTTACGCAAGAAATGTTTTAACAGTTTGAAATGTTTAACAGCAAAATAAATAAATCAATGCAATGACAATTGACAATTCATATATTTCTTTCCTCCCTCCCTTTGTGTGTGTTTTTATATAAAATATTTCTAAAAAATAAACTTGTATACATAAATTTAACATGTTGGTGCAATTCATAATTATAATGAACTATAATTAATTACAAATGCCACTCATTTTTAACACATTTTTCTGGTTTGATCCTTCCACTGGTACTAGTGCAGGCTGAAATCCAGCTGCAGCGCGCTGTATATTGCTATGGCAGAACCTGTGACCATAGCCCTCTCTTTCAATACAGCTTTTAAATGGCTTTCAAAGTGAAACCTTCAGCACCTTTTTACAGAGTAGGCTGGACAGTTCTTGTGGGAGATATTAGACTATGGACAAATCAACAAGCAGCAGACTAACAAAAGCAACAGCAAAGTGGAAAGATATGCAAAAGCTGTCTTAAAAAAGGTTGAGGTAAACATGGTCAGTTAGTGCTTGGTGGAACTGCAAATGTTCTGTGTAACTGTACCTGTAGAAAACTCTCCACGTACTGCAGCAGGTAGAGGCCACAGTCGCTGCTGTTGTCCTGCAGGGGGACTTTACAGTGGCTTCCTTTTATGCTGTCGTCATTAAACACTCGAGGAGTTCCCCTCCGGACCTCCCACTCCACTTGCAGATACCTGAGAAGAGAAGCACAGATAAACTTTACATCTAAAATTTGAATAGCGGAACAGTTTATCTAAATGTACACAGTTTGCTCCATTAGCCCAAATCCAGTCCATCAGCCATGTTTGGTGTCTGAAGTGTCTTTAATTTTGCACTAAAGATACGAGGCTAACGTAGCTAACAAGTAATGGAAGCTTGTGCCAGTTAGCGTGTTCTAACTGCATGCATATGTCCATGTTTTTACAGTGCCGTGAAAAAGTATTAGCCCCATCCCGGTTTCTTCTAATTGTTAATATGTCACAGTTAATTGTTTCAAACACAATGTAATGTAAGACAAAGATGACCCGAGTAAACACAAAATACAGTTTATAATGAGCATCTCATTTATTGAAAGAAAACAGTTATCCAACATTAGCTGGCCCCGTGTGAAAGAAGTAATTGTCCTCTCAGTTAATCAACAGCTATTTAGTCGAAAACTGGGATCAGTTAAACTGGACACGGCCAGGCTTGATTCCTGCTGGACCTGTTGAATCTAAACAGTGTTTCAACATTAACGTGTAAGGAACTGCAGGCCGCATCAGGTAAGGTTCACAATTCCACCGTTAGAAAGAGACTGGGCATATGTAGTGTCCGTGGAAAAGCCGCAAGGTAAAAACCACTGATAACCAAGAGGCTTATCTCACATTTGCCAAAAAGTCACTTTGATGACTCCCCAAAGCCTTCTGGAGAAAAGTTCTGTAGACTACTAATGAAAAATGTTCTGTGGAAGTGTCCAAGTTAAACTTTTTGGAGGACAGGTTGTCTCATCACATCTGGTATAAAGCTAACACAGCAACTCTCAATAAGAAAATCATACCAACAACGAAACATGGTGGTGGTAGTATGATAATGCGGGTAGTATGATAATCAGAAAATCCTGCAGGAGAATGTTTGTTCATCTGTGTATGATTTGATTCTAACGTACAACTGTTTCACCCAGAAAAAAAAAACAACATTCGGAAGTCCACTGAATGACTCAAAAGAAACAAAATTGAAGTTTGGGAGACTGGCTTAGACAAACTCCTGGCTAGAAGACCCAGTCACACAAAGCATTTGGTTGCAGCTGATACCGCTAAAGCTGGCACTGCCAGTTATGAAGTTGAGGAGCCAATTACTATTTCACATGGTTAATATATGGTTTGCAAAACTTTCTTTTCCTTTAATAAATAAAATCCTCATTTAAGAACTGTGTTTTGTGTTTTCCCATGTTCTTCTTGTCTTATGTTACATTTAGATCTAAACCATTTAGTGTGACATGCAAAAAAAGGAGACATCAGAAGGAGGCAAATACTTTTTCACAGCACTGTACATAACAGTAGCTCACACAGTGACAGATACCACCTAAGCCAAGTCCATTTGTGGCCACTCAAAAATGTAACATGGTTTCAAGCATGCAGTTTGAATGATGCCAATTAGTGGTCTTCCATTAAATGTCCACTACTTGTTAACGACATTAGCCTCGTAGCTCAAGTGCAAAACTAAAGAATGAAATTTCAGTCACTAAACATATCTTAGTTGATCGACTACTTTTGGGTTAAAACCTTTTTAACTCCTTGGAACCACCAGCGGTTCCAAAATGCACTTCGTCATAGTCTTTACTTCATAACTTTCATATTTTATAAGCTTCTTTCAAAAGGTGGGGGTCATATGAGAGCTGTAACTGTCTTCTTTCCAGTCAAATAGATGGGTAATATAGTTCTAAAACTTTATAATAAAATAAGCTGAACTCTACTGAAAGCTGACCCATTTTTCCACAAATCTGAACTATAAACTGGATCTAAGATGGCGTCTCTTCAACGATCAGCTCTGTAAAAATGACTTTTATAAAAAATTATAGATTTTTGGCCTTCAGCAGTAAATTGTAAGCATATAGCAATATGTTTATGATCATAAAACACATTTTCTGTTAATTCGAGGGGAACTTTTACAAAAAAAAACAAAAATTTCCAGTTATTTCATGCAGTTACTGAATAATTTGCCTTACGATTTGGCCATGTAAATTCAGATGGAAAAAACGAAATATACCCACGAACACAAGAGGTTAAGGAGGAGAAATGTAAATGACGTTTTGCCAAACTATCCTTTTAACCAATAAAATGTACCATTTCTATGGGATGATGCACTTGTAGCACTTGACTTCATTATCTCGCACGCGTTAACAAACGCACTTGTACTCCAGTAACATTCGGCTAATCATTACAAACAGCTGCTGAGAGTATCTCGGCCAGCTCTGCTGATGGTGGAGGTTTGCTTTTAGATTTTTTTTGTTCATATTTGAATTATATGGTCTGCCCAACAATGTATGATGTCATGTTCCATGTTAAAGCTATTTCTAAATGAGCTGGAGCTTGTCTTCACCTAGACCACATTCAGACAGCCCTCCTTCTGGAGTGCCACAGGGTGTATTTTTAAGGCTTTTTGTGCCAGGCCAACAGCCTCAGCTCATTATAATACTAAAGAGTCTCTGAATATGAGAGGCAGATGTGCTAGACGAGGGATAGGACTAATCTCTAGGAGACACTCTATGCAGAACCAGAACATCAGGAGCACACCAGTGTCAGACTAGGTCGATATACATCGATCAGGCATAACATTATGACCACCTCCTTGTTTCTACGCTCATTGTCCATTTTATCAGCTCCACTTACTATATAGGTGCACTTTGTAGTTCTACAGTTACAGACTGTAGTCCATCTGTTTCTCTGCATACTTTGTTAGCCCCCTTTTACCCTGTTCTTCAGTGGTCAGGACCCCCATGGGCCCTCACAGAGCAGGTACTATTTGGGTGGTGGACCATTCTCAGCACTGCAGTAACACTGATGTGGTGGTGGTATGTTAGTGTGTGTTGCGCTGGTCTGAGTGGATCAGACACAGCAGTGCTGCTGGAGTTTTTAAACACCTCAGTGTCACTGCTGGACGGAGAATAGTCCACCAACCAAAAATATCCAGCCAACAGCGTTCTGTGAGCAGCGTCCTGTGACCACTGATGAACGACTAGAGGATGACCAGCACAAACTGTGCAGCAGCAGATGAGCTATCGTCTCTGACTTTACATCTACAAGGTGGACTGACAGGGTAGGAGTGTCTAATAGAGTGGACAGTGAGTGGACACAGTGTTACAAACTCCAGCAGCACTGTTGTGTCTGATCCACTCATACCAGCACAACACACACCAACACACCACCACCACGTCAGTGTTACTGCAGTGCTGAGAATGATCCACCACCCAAATAGTACCTGTTCTGTGACGGTCCATGGGGGTCCTGACCACTGAAGAACAGGGTAAAAGGGGGCTAACAAAGTATGCGGAGAAACAGATGGACTACAGTCTGTAACTGTAGAACTACAAAGTGCACCTATATAGTAAGTGGAGCTGATAAAATGGACAATGAGCGCAGAAACAAGGAGGTGGTCAAAATGTTATGCCTGATCGGTGTATAGAGGCATTGCATTATGCAGTTGCCTTGGCCATCTAGTGGGAAAAAGGATCTGCCCCAAAGTTCCTTCCACCAAAATACATTACACCAATTAGGACACCTGACCATCACACCTTTATGAGATGTTATGTTACACATCCCATTTCACAATTATGAGCATTAGTATGAGTCACTCCCTTTGCAGCCGTAACAGCCTCCAATCATCTGGGAAGCTTTCCACAAGAGTGTGTCTATGGGAATTTGTATCCATTCAGTCAAAAGAGCGTTTGTGAGGTCAGGCACTGCTGTTGGACGAGAAGGCCTGGCTCACAATTGATGTTCCAGTTCATCCCAAAGGTGTTCAGTGGGGCTGCGGTCAGTGCTCTGTGCAGCCCACTGGAGTTCGTCCACACCACACTCATCAAAGGAGCTCGCTTTGCGCACAGAGGCAGAGTCATGCTGAAACAGGAAAGGGTCGTCCCCAAAGTGTTGCCACAAAGTTGGAAGCATGCATGCAATTGTCTAACATGTTTGTAGCATTAACAGGACCCTTCACTAGAACCAAAGCCCAAACTCTGAAAAACAGCTTAGGTTTAGTTTCTAAAAAGATGCTTGCACGGCCTAGCAAGTCTCCTCTTTTGAATCCCAGTGAAAATTTATGGAGGGACCCTTGTAATTTTGAGGAATCGAGGATGGTTTCCACAAAGAATGGGCCAAGATTGAGCCACAGTGCTGCAAAAAGCTAGTTACTTCTCGCTGTAGACGGCTCAAAATTATAACTGCCAAACACCGCTTTGCAAACAAAGTACTAATGTTATTAAATTGTGGTTTCTAAATAGTTCACCTCTGTCAGTTTTGTCTCTGTATATGCTTATGAATACATACTCTGACCAGCCACTTCATTAAGTACATCTCCTTCTTTCTACACTCCTGGTCCCTTTTATTAGCATTTTGTAGTTCTGTAGTCTGTAGTCCATCTGTTTCTCTGCATACTTTGTTAGCCCCCATTCACCCCGTTCCTCAGTGGTCAGGAGCCCCACAGGACCACCACAGAGCGTATTATTTGGGTGGTGGATCATTCTCAGCACTGCAGTAACACTGACGTGGTGGTGGTGTGTTAGTGTGTGTTGTGCTGGTGCAAGTGAATCAGACACAGCAGTGCTGCTGGAGTTTTTAAACACCTCAGTGTTGCTGCTGGACTGAGAACCAAAAACATCCAAACAGCAGCATCCTGTGGGCAGCATCCTGTGACCACTGATGAAGGACTTGAGGACTGGTCCACCACCCAAATAATATCTACTCTGTGGTGGTCCTGACCACTGAAGCGCCTTGTTTTCCCTCACTGCAATCCATGAAGATAAATGATAAGCAGGTTTTTTTTTGCACACACATGGACTGAAATGTTAAGATGCACTCACTCTCGTAACAGTGTGTAGATGCGATAATGGTAGGACAGCTTCAGAGAATCCATGATCAAAATGCAGGGCCTGCAAACGAGAGAGAGAGAGAGAGAGAGAGAGAGAGAGAGAGAGAGAGAGAGAGAGAGAGAGAGAGAGAATGAGAGAGAATAAGCAGCTGATCTGTGCTGCCCGCGGCGGTCTCTCTGACCCCAGGTGCTCCGCTCTCTCTGCTGGATTTACTGAAGCTCCTGCATGTGAGCAGAGCTCCAGCATATGCTCTCAGACTCAGATGCTCCAGGACCAGCTAAACCAGCAGGACAGAAGCTTTCAGGCTCACTCAAAGGGCAGAAAACTGGTCCTGGGTCTGCACTCCTACACAATAACCTTTACTTTTTGATAACAGATCTATACTACATTTTATCCGCTGTAGTCGTTGCAAGAAAACAGACAAGTACACTCAATTCTGTGCACAGAAGAGGAAAATCAACATCTTAGAAAAAATGTTATCTCTGAAATAATGTACTGAGATTTCTATTGGTCCATTCAAGAAATTATCACACAAAAACATGTTTTATGAAGAATTACTAACAAAAAATGTTTGGTGAAACTAAAATAATGAAATGTTATCTGTCCCATGATTTTGAACTACAAGGCCATCAGGATATTCATTTAATTAAAGCTTTATTAAGTCATTCATTTTATTAGAACTTCATCCTGGACACTAAGTTTATTAGCACTTTATTCTGAATATGAATTTCATTTTTTTAGAATTTTATTCTGCAAATTAATTTTATAAGATTTTCATTCTGGATATGAAATAAATGTTTTTTTTTTCTGTGAATTAATTTTATTAGAACCTCACCCTGAATATGAGTTAGACTTTATCAGAAATGTATTATGTAAATTAATTAGACTTTCATCCTGGATATTAATTTTATTTTATTTTATTCGGTATATTAATTAGATTAGACTTTTAATTCTGTATATTAATTTTATTCTTTAAATTAATTTTTACTAAAACTTCCTTCTGGATATAAATACATTTAAATTTATTATAATTTTATTCTGTAAATTTGATCAGAATTTCATCCTGGATATTAATTTTATTAGAATTTTATCTTTGGACATTTTATTAGAACTTCATTCTGAATATTAATTTAATTTTATTAGAATTTTGTTCTGTAAATTAATTTTATTAGAACTGTATTCTGTATGTTCTACAACTTGCTTAGTCATTTGAGAATCATCTACAGCTCTGTTAATTATTATAGACAGACATTTCTTCACGGTACAATCTTAGATGACAATATCAGAATCACTTTAAATATGCATCTGCTTTTATATTACTGAAACTGTGACATACACAAGTTTACATAATAGTGAAAGATTGAGAACATTTACCTTCTGGTGACCTTCTCCCTCTGACAGCTCAGCACCGTACAGTCCTGAAAACACAGAGAGAGAGAGAGAGAGAGAGAGAGAGAGAGAGAGAGAGAGAGAGAGAGAGAGAGAGAGAGAGAGAGAGAGAGAGAGAGAGAGAGAATCTATCATTACATGATACCATGTGTAAGGCTGATTCAAGCCACATCTGCATAGCACGCTGTAAATCAAATCAGCTTTATGTACACTTTATATCTTTAAATTATCTTTATGTGCTGAAATTGTGTGATCACTCATCAGTAGGACCTCAGAGCTGTTAATTAAACACAGGTTTAAGCCTCTGTAGGGTCTTTTGCCAAGGAGGCCATTTGGAAGACTGCCAAACATTTCAAACATTATTTTATTTGGCAACATCAGACGTTTCTATGGACTCAACAAAGACATCATCCTGTAAATACGCCCTAATACAGTGCACGAGTCAAAAAATAAACACACCACTACTGAAGCTTTTACATGTCTGTCAGCAATATCATTATTTATGGGAAATATAGTGTATGTGCTACAGCAGTGGATCGAAGAGCTTTTTCTCTGGCAAATCCAAATAAACATCATGCGTAGTGATGTGACGAAGCGGAGACATTCAATTGATCAAGATTATTTTGGTTCCATGCAGATTCTTTTTGCACTGAATATGCCATATAACTGTAACTAAAATATTGACCATCATATATCACACACAGACCTTGTCCATTTTATCAGCTCCACTGACCATGTAGGAACACTTTGTAGTTCTACAATTACAGACTGTAGTCCATCTGTTTCTCTGCATACTTTGTTACCCTGTTCTTCAGTGGTCAGGACTCACTGGACAAAAAATTGGTCATGGACTGGACAAGTTTCTGAATGTAGGCTACATCAATGTTCAGCCACTCTTACATCAAAGAATTGTGCAGTTTGGCCAGATTTTGTGGAGGCCTTCCCTGGCGTCTTACTCATTGTTCCGGGTAGTCCCTCAGATTTTCAAGAGGATTCAAAGTCCAGATGTGTGAATGCTCCTGAATGTTCGTCATGCCAATCAGTCACACTTGCAGCCCTGATATGTGAGAACTGTCATCATGGAATACAGGGATAGGAATGCTATGCTCCTCAGTAAGACGATGAGCAAACGGCAAAACCTGGTTGTCCAGCAGCTCAATGTAGGCACTGTGTTTAAATTTACTGTCACCTCAACCAAAGGACCCATTTCCATGTAATTAAAACACCCCCAGAACATCACAGAGCCAGAATATAACAGAACCTCTTCCAGGTTGAACCACACCTTGCACGCAGTCCTCACTGAAGTCTTCCTGAGGTCTACGATAAACATGACGCCAAGCATCTTTCACAAACAGGAAGAAACGAGATTCATCTGACCAGATAACACATTTCCAGTCATGAACAGTCCAGTTTTTGTTTCTCTTTGCCCACTGTAACAACTTTGTGAGTAGAAGTGAGCAAAGGCCTCTTGCGTGCCACTCTGCTCCATATATTCATGGTATGCAGTTCCCTGTGGAGAGTTCTCTCAGAAATTGGTTGTGAAGGACCTGCATTGACTTTTAGAAGCAGTTCTTGCCCGGAAGTGAAGCGATTTTTATTCACAAGCCATAGTGAATCACACAGGCGGTTCTTGTCCGTCAGTTTCGTCTTTCAGCCACAATTCTGACAGGAACTTCCTGTAGACTGGGATTTTTGCCACTGCTGGTCAACCAGTATGACCGTACGCTTTGATACACCTGCAAATTCAGCTACTTCCTTCACACTACGGCCTTGGCTCGCCCAAATGTAATCACTCCTTTTTATCCATCATTAACATCTGCTTCGCGACCCATTTTCCACACATCAAACAAGAGGCTTTGGGCACTGTACCACCTTTTCTCAATCTATGAATCCCATCACACCCCACAGGTATTTATAGCCTGATCATCATATATATCATATATACACACACACACACACACACACACACACACACACACACACATATATATATATATATATATATATATATACACGTGTGTGTGTGTGTGTGTGTGTGTGTATATATATATATATATATATATATACACACACACACACACACACACACACAGACACACACACACACACACACACACACACACACATATATATATGTATGTGTGTGTGTGTGTGTGTGTGTGTGTGGGTGTGTGTGTGTGTGTGTGTATATATATATATATAATGATTTTTGTTCATTTTACATCCTGTGCTACAATGCATCCAAGTACTGATAATATTTTAATACAGGGTATGCATGATCAGGAAAAAAGCTGCACTCACTGGGAGGTCGAAGGGTCGGCGCTTTGGTCCATCTTCGCTTACTGAAATCACAGAAAGGACACACACGGTATCAGTCAAAAGTTTGGACATTCTTGCTCAAAGAATTTTTCTTTTTTTAGCGACTAATACGAGTGAGGACATAAAAAAAGTTTACATACTTGCTTCAACACAGCTCTACAAACTACTGGTGTTCTTTTTTCTGATAGGTGTGGTCAAATGTTTTGCTGCTACTGTAAACAACTTCTGATCCATGGAGGAAGCAGCCACTGCAATAATCGCAATAATTACAACTGCACTGAGCAGATAAATACCACCTTATAGTGTCTTTGTTATTTATTCATCCATCATCTAAACCGCTCATCCTTCTGCGTCGCGGTGGGGTGCTGGAGCCTATCCCAGCTGTCATTGGGCGGAAGGCAGGATACACCCTGGACAGGTCGCCAGTCCATCGCAGGGCAGACTTTGTTATTTAATTGGCTAGAAAAAAATGGCTTATATTTGAAAGACTTCTCTCGAAACTGCAGCAGATCTCAAATGTAGTCCGACCAACCAATATCTAAGCGCTAATGTAACTAGCCACTAACTAGTAATTTGTAAACAGGATAATTAGATTATCACATATTATCATAATTAGATTATTTTGCCAAAATTTCTGCATAAATAAATGGGTAAAACGTAAACAAAGTCATTCCGAGTGCTTTGCTGTGAAATGCTCCATTCTAGAGTCAGAATTGTTCACAGTGGCGGTGATAGGAACCAGACATCCACCTCTAAAAGCTCCCCCACAGAAAGTTATTACATGCAATAGTTATGAATACCCTGCCTGATGCCTGGGACGTTATTTTCTGATAGTTGTGAGAAGGTTTACCCTAAAATATATTGTTTTTTAAAACCTATTCATGGTGGAGGGATACATGCAGGGCATTGTGTGGCAAAACAGTCCCCAAAGAAAACACATTTTTTCCGATTTACCACTACTTTACCATCATCAACATTCCATATAAAAACTCAGAAGACACGTGTAGGTTCACTGGTGGCTTTGGATAGTAAATAGAATGGCTATAATTGTGTTGTAGACACTGCGACTTCTGGTTCCCATCACCACTGTAAAAATAAGAGTTGGTAAGTTTCTCCACAATGAACCACTTCACATCAAACCACTTTGAAAGTTTCTGAACTCAAACACTGAATTATGCAGAAATTCTGACAAATCAGTGGACTTCTGCTCTAATTCATTCCAAATAGACTTTCTTATGTGGGTTCTGATATCTTATGAAGTACTGTAATCTATAAAAAAAGGAATAATCGCTAATAATAAAAGTGGCCTGAATTTGTATTTTTTACACTGATACAAATAAAAATCGCAACCTGTCTATACAGAATTTAATAATGTAGTTACTTAAAAATTTAATTGCATCATTTTTTCCCCTGTAGAGTCAAATTATAACATCTGTGTGGTTTTATGTCCCAAAATCAGTCATATATAACTATTACATGAGCACTTTTCAACCTCTCTTTATCCCTCAGAACTGAACAGGCTTTGATACTGCACCTTTAAGGCTGATATATGTTAAAGAGCTCTGTTCTGATTGGTTGCCCTGTATTACAGCTGGTTGAAAACAGTACAGACTGCAACACCCAACTTCAGTGTGAGTGGGTGGAGCTAAACTGCTGCAGGCTGAGTAAGTGGCTACATTTATGTATATCTGTCTTAAAGGCGCATTAAAGTGTTTACATACAACACCCAACTGAATTATTGTAAATAAGTGAGGAAAGTTCGGATTTACGAGCCCTTTAACAGCCTTTAACAGCACGGCAAAACAATAAGTACCCTAGACTTCTAAAGGTTAAGGTCCAGTTCTGAGTCACTGCCTGTTCCCACTTGGACAGAACACTGTACACTGTTAAATCTCATTGTGCTCATGTGTTGGGGGGTGTTGTTCTTGGCTATGCTAGACACTGAAACCTCGCTGCCCAGAATCCTCTGAGACGCATTTGGGGATTTCAGGATCGGTCAAGTTTCAGACGGAAGAGAGATGTTCTTACACCTACAAGAAACATGGAAACCACATGCGGCAAACAAGATTACTGAGAGTAATTAGCGGAGACGGTGGAGAAGGCATGTGTACTAGAGCTGTCCTTGACTCAATGTTCTCTGTTGACCAGAGGATCATAAACAAAACAACACAGTATCGTACAACACAAGACTATAAAACTTAAAATAGTTTGCACTTTAAAAGGCCCATATTGCACACTGGTGTGTTTTATTTTTCCTCCTGTGGTCCATGAGGTTCATGTACAAAACCAGACATGATTTATTTTTACACAACCACTTTCCAACCTCTTCACTTCGAAAAGCACAGGCTGTTTTCATTATCGTGCATCTATGTAAATGACATCTGTTCTGATGTCTGGCTGTGCTTTACGGTGCAGGCTGAAACACTCCCTATAACTTCAGTGTGAGTGGGCGGGGCTAACTGGATGTAGGCTGAATAGGTGGATGTATGTAAATGCGTTCATTTTCATGACATCACAAAAACAACGAATTAAAACAAAAATCCATACATGGACTGTTTAGATTGGCGTGTGACCTTAAAAACTAAATAGAAGAAAAAAAGAATTTATCATCATTGCTGTTAATTATTATTCTATTATTATTAACAGTGGTACTATTACAAATATAATCACTATAATAATAATAATAATAATAATAATAATAATAATAATTGTTGTTATTATTGATTATTTAAATTTTTATAATAGTAGTATAATTAGAAGTAATTGTATTATTATAACCACTATAATTATTGTTATGATTAATATTATTAATATGATTTTTACTATTATACAGCTGTATGCAAAAGTTTGGGCACCAAACTACAATGGCACAAAATGGTGCATTATATTTTTATATGTTGAACTCAGCAAATAAACAGAAATTGTGCAGTAAATTAGCAGAAAATGCCATATTTAAGTGTGTTCTTTGTAGAAGCTGTGTTATTTTCAATACTTTCTTAGAGAGGTGCATTAAGATGTTATACTGGGGATCTGGCCCGCTCGGGCACCCCTGAACAGGTTGCTGGCTCTGTTTGAACAGCAGTGAGTGGTCCAGGGGAGCAAACAGTGACCTTTTAACCATCATCTTAAAAATGACAACACCTCATCTTTGAATATTACTGATCATTTGTTGCAGCCACACACGTAAAGGTTCTAAACCCATTTATAATATCACAATATTTTACATTACTGGATACTATTTTACACCTATTGACCTCCCTCCCTACTGGACAGCCCTAGTGTATCCAGCACCTGTTTGGCGTTGGCCAGTGGAGGGCGGTTTGCCCTGGCTGCTCGGCCTGCTCTGTGACTGTGTGGTCCCCGAAGCATCCACTGAAGCTGGGCACTTCCACGGAACGGACTCAGGCTCGAGGAGACCAGGGAAGCAGATGACCACCAGGTACCAGTGAGCTCTGTAGGGAGAGAAAGAGATTAATTGGTCACAGAGCTTGTTAGCTGAACTGAGATTAACCCCTTTAATGGCCACAACCCTGCCAAAGTGTCCAACTGCTTATTCAGTACTTCTATAACTTAAGAATAACTGTTTTATTTTCCATGTAACTATATGATAATATAATTTAGGACAAGATTATTCAACTGAAACTTACGGAGGTCCAATTAGATCAATTAAATTACATTTTGAACATACCTTTATCATCTATCAAATCAAAATTATAATTGTTTTAAAATTAGACTGGTGACCTGTACAGGATGTATTCTGCCTTCCGCCCTATGACCGCTGGCATAGGCTCCAGCACCACCACCCCACCGTGACCCACCGTGGTTTAGAAAATGTGTGTGTGTTTTAAAATTATGCGCAAAAGTATTGGGACACCTACAGGAGCTTTTATGATGTCCCATTCTAAATCCATAGGCATTAATATGGAGTTGGTCCCCCTTTGCAGCTATAACAGCTTCCACTCTTCTGGGAAGCTTTCTACAGGATTTTAGAGTGTCTGTGGGAATTTTTGATTCATCCAGAAGAGCATTTGTGAGGTCAGACACTGATGTTGGACGAGAGGGTCTGGCCCACAATCTCCGTTCTAGTTCATCCCAAAGATGTTGGATGGGGTTGAGGTCAGGGCTCTGTGTGGGCCAGTCAAGTTCTTCCACACCAAACTCACCCAGCCATGACTTTATGGACCTTGCTTTGTGCACTGGGGCTCAGTCATGCTGGAACAGAAAAGGGCCTTCCCCAAACTGTTCCCACAAAGTTGAGAGCCGACAAATGCCTAAAATGTCTTGGTGCTGAAGCAGTAAGATTTCCCTTCACTGGAACTAAGGGTTCTAGACCAGCCCCTAAAAAACAACCCCATAGCATCATCCCTCCTCCACCAAACTTTACAGCTGGCACAGTGCAGTCAGGCAGGCATTCGCCAAACCCAGACTCATCCATCAGACTGCCAGATAGAGAAGTGTGATTCATCACTCTATAGAATGCGTTTCCACTGCTCCAGAGTCCAGGGGCGGTGTGCTTTACTTTAATTTTATACATTTGTTAGCAGTGAGTGTGGCTGAAATACCTGAACTCAATAATTAGGAGGGGTGTCCCAGTACTTTTCAAAGATGGAAATGATGAATAACAAAACTATTGTTTTATGATAAGATTTAAGCGCAACTTTAAAGCATAAGGGCCAGATTCATAAAACAGGGCATTAACAGCGCTAGGCCATGTGATGTCACTAGTGTACTGGGCAAGAGCCAATCAAAATCCACATGCAAATGAGATCAAACATATTGAAGACCTAAGCCAAGTGAAGCTCTTGTTGGCTGGCAAAAAAAGAAACAAAGAGAAACAAACAGCTACAAATTTTGAGGGAAGAAGTGCTGACAAATAACAGTAAACTGGTTGGTTCTTTTACCTTTTAGTCCAGAAACAAAAAAATCTGAAAATGTTGTTGATACTAAAAATGAAAACGTGAACTGTAACATCTTAAAACTCTGATTGCAGGAATTTATTTTAGCGTCTAAGATTTCATTTCGCACTGGTAAGAATAGCCTTTTTCCAGTTATTATAATTGCAGTAACAATTTTTACTAAAATCAATTAAAGTGTAGCGTTATTTTTTTATAACAAAAATTTCATTGGCATGCTGAAATTTAGATGACAAGCCCTTTTAGCCTTTATTATTTTTACTTGATCTGAAGAATTCAAGGTACACGTGAAAAGTCCAACTCCAAAAGTAAGTATTACATTTTGACTATTTAAAATTCAGCTTGTATTGGTAAGGCACACATTTTCACTAGTAGAACTCCCAAGTATAAACTGAATTCCTTTACAAAATCCACCACAAACTGAAAAATAGGGTTAAAGGCTAAGACTGTCTGCAATACAATCAATTCAAATGTAATTACAATCTCAAAGTCACATTACTCTCTATTTATTCAGCTCCAACACTAAGCTAACCACCAAGCTATTCACTTTTCGCATTACGGTAAATCTGCCGGTCCGTTTTGTGAATCTTGTCCATAGTGTCTTTGTGATCCAATCGCTCAAACCACCTCTGGAGGTGGTCAGGGACGTATCTGACCACATAGCCTTTGTAGTGTGAATGTTAAAGTGTCCCAGGCAGCAACGAATGACCACCTTAATCAACTGTGTCATCACAGTAGAGACGGAAGTAGCTGTGTAGCGTCTGTTCTTCGTCTCCTCTCACGTCTGTTTAGACGTTAGCAGTCTAAATGTTTGTAACGGCTCGTTCTCAGATAGACAGACAGAAAGAGAGAGAGAGAGAGAGAGAGAGAGAGAGAGAGAGAGAGAGAGAGAGAGAGTGAGAGAGAGTGAGAGATGTTACATGTGCTACGGCTGGCTTCCTTCCTCTTTCAGTGGGCACTGTTTGTTCTAATAAAAACGTTTGCACACTCCGTCTTTGTGAGTAGACAAACAGATGGACGTATTTAATTGACCCTCAAATTGGAAATTCGAATGCCTTGTGTTGGGGTGGCCTCATCAATCTTAAAAGAACATACTGTACTATGTACTACGAGTCCTGGTTTAGCAATTTGTGCCATTTGTTTGTCGAAACAGGACACTGGCACCATGAACACTAGCTATAAACTCATATAATTCTTTCGAACCTCCCAAAGCAAGCACAGCCTTATTGCGCAACATTTCATTCTCAGTGCATCAGAATAAAACTCATTTTAGGCCTAATACCACCCAAATTTTAGGAATGTAATGTGGTCTTGCCGTCCAACCACACCCAACACTTTATTCCACCTCCCTGTTTCTACGCTCATTGTCCATTTTATAAGCTCCACTGACCATAAAGAAGCACTTTGTAGTTCTACAATTACAGACTGTAGTCCATCTCTTTCTCTGCATACTTTGTTACCCTGTTCTTCAATGGTCAGGACCCCCACAGAGCAGGTATTATTTGGGTGGTGGATCATTCTCAGCACTGCAGTAACACTGACGTGGTGGTGGTGTGTTCGTGTGTGTTGCGCTGGTGTGAGTGGATCAGACACAGCAGTGCTGCTGGAGTTTTTCAACACTGTGTCCACTCACTGTCCACTCTATTAGACACTCCTACCTTGTTGGTCCACCTTGTAGATCCTCTAGTCCCTCATCAGCGCTCACAGGATCCTGACCATTGAAAAGGGTGACAAAGTATGCAGAGAAACAGATGGACTACAGTCTGTAATTGTAGAACTACTAAGTGCACCTATATAGTAAGTGGAGCTGATAAAATGGACAAAGTTTGTATATTAAAGGAAATTAAACTTGAGTGACAAAACCCTCAGTGTGGACAGGATCTGACTCAGGCTTGTGAGACTAGTAGAGACTTTTCCACAGAGATGATTCTAAAATGGTAGAGTGAGCATCACAATTAACACTCCCTCTCTTAGCTAACACCATCTTACTCTAAGATGTTTTGGGAAACTGGGCCAGGATCAGTTGAAATGTGGTGGGGTGCTTTACATCAAGTCTCGCAAAATGATGATGAAGTAAGCGTACAGTTCAATAATAATTAGGTCAGCCCAATAACGATTTTTTTTTTTGTCCCAATTTCAACCTGTTACTGAAGAAAATCTTTACTGTTTGTCCCGCTCCACCTGCAACCTGAATGTTTTGTCCCACTCCCACCCACGGTCCTGTATAACTGGTTTGCATCTGAGTCAGTCACAAATGAAAATGACTGCCATAGTGTCGTGTATTTTTATTAAGCACACTTTCCACAGCTGTGGCTGTCTGACTATCTAAAGGCTCCGCCGTTTCTGTAGCCTACGAGAAAGCAATTTACCTGATTCACAGGACTGTTCACGTGATCGGTTGCTTCTATTCAGAACTAGTTTAGACCTTCTCTTTAAAATGAGTATCACTTTTTGTTATTTTGCAGTTTGATACTATTTATTTATGCCAATTATTAAGTGATATTCAGTGAAGTGCCTCTCCGTTAATTTGTGGAATTTCTCTACATGTACATGTTAACCTGCTCCCACCCGCACTGAGCTGGTTAACCACCCGCTCCCAGCACAAGATACTTTGGGAGTCCTGAGGGAAGTCCTGCAGACTTGTAGCGTATAGCTCATTACAGTATCAGATTATTACACTGGTTGAAAGATTTCATTTTTAAAACATTTGACCTGCATCACCTGTGTATCGCACTTTTACTCTTTACTCAGATACACTTGCACACAACACAGCCCCAGAGGGGTCAAGAGCTGGAGATGGAGGTGATTTGCTTTGTTGTAATGAAAAGACATTTACAACTAGCTAAACATACAAAGAGATAAATGTGATAATGCTCAATTGGAAAATACATAAATAAAAGTTATTTTCTGTTTTTCATAATTTATTAGCAACTGCACTCTTTACACCCGTTTGTGTGAATGAATGCATGAAAAAGAGAGAGTGAGCGACAAACTCACTCTTGGTTGACTGGTATGAAGAGGTAGTCCTTGCTGAAGATGTCTACGTGTCTGGTCCATGTTTTAACTCTGCGGTGGCGTCTATACTGAGCCCTGCAACAAACAAACAGTGAGGCATTAGTTCTGTTAGTGTAGCTTGTTAGAATAAGTGAGAACGCTGCCATTCAAACCCGGTGCGCACTAAAAGAGAGTCGATCAGTGAGGCTGAACACTATGGCAAGTCGTTTCAGCTTTTAATCCTTTTTTTTCTTGATCTCAGGAATTCAATTTACACACGTGAAAAATTTAACTTCTACTAGTAAAAATTTTGTTCTTACTATATATGATTTACACTCATAAGGTATACGTTTGTGTGGGTGTGTTACTCACGTGAAGCCGGCCTCTTCCTCGCTGCTGTTGTCCTTCCGTGTGAGCTGTTTGTAGAAGAAGCTGCTAAAGATGTGGGATCTGTTGGCCACATCCTGATCGGCTCTCTCCAGCTGCAGGTACCTGCAGAGAAACAGCAGCTACTGAGCTCCCTCCACTCTTAATATTTGCCTATTTATATAAAGGACATTATGGCTATGTTCACGTTACCAGGCTGAAGTGGCACAAATCCGACCTGAGTCACTTTCATATGTGGTCCTAGATTGGATACGTATCAGATTCGTGGCCATGCGACCTTAATGTGACGCTCAGATTGGAATTCATGGGCTTTTTTCCACTGCGCGTGCGCCATCATTCAGTGTTACCATGGCAGCAGCGCCGAACAGAAGTTAAAGCCTGTAAAGCAGCACATCTCTCCTTTTTCTCCTTCGTCTCGCTCTAATAATGAAGCTGAGAGCTGATCAGAGTTAATTATCTTCACAGCGAAACTCGTTCTGCTCATTCTGACTGTTAGTCTGTTTGCTGATGATGCACTTGATTCATTCACGTGACGTTACTAAGTAGGATATGCGCATGCAGGTCCTGTCAGAGAGGTCGGATTTGAGCAAAAAATCGGATTTGAGCAATGTTTCAGTAACAGATGCTCAAATAACACCTGTTTAAAGGATAAACAAGATGAGAGCACAGTGAGAGACTGGAGTTGGAGTGATGGACGGAATCAAACGCATGTGTGGTGTGCATGTTGCTATAAGCCTGTTAGCAGTTAGCCATTTGTTTGCATAGTTTTCTTGGGTATTTCCTGGTTCTGGTTTAGCAGTACAACAGATGGAAACAAAGCCCGTAACTGGTCTCACGAGTCCGGACCAGCGTGGAACGGTCCAGTACGACCCCGACAACCATTTGGCTCGATAGTGGAAAAGCGGCCATAATGTCTGGTGCTGCCCCTCGGTTTAAACAAAGCAGGGTTCTTATGCAGGACATGTTTAATACAGTTACAGACTGTTTACTTCATTTACACGCTGATGTCTGGCCCACCTATCAGAACCATATTCCAAACTCGATTAAAAGAATACTTTGCATTAACAAAGAGTTCAGTTAATGAGTGCATATATCAAGTATTTTACAACAGTTTTGAACCAATCGGGTTTCAGAACAAGAATAATTTTTTTCGTATATTTTTTTATGGGCCATGTCCCTGATTTTAGCCTTCTTGGTTAGCAATTAATCATTGACGTTGGTTATCGAGCCAAAATCACATCCCCAGTGTTAACGCTTTAAAATATCGTATTGATATTGGCCGATACTGAAGGACACAGCCAGAACAATAAGAGTGCTCACTTGAGGTAGAAGTCGATGATGACGTCATTCAGAAACTCGCCGTCCCTAAGGCACTCCAGGTCTTCTGTCGTCACGGTAATGCCGCCTTTGGAAGGGGGAGGGGGGTACTGGATCAACCTGTTTTAAAAAATTCACACAGTTATAGCAGTTTTAGCATTCATTACCATTCATAGTACATGGAAAAAAAATGTTATCATTATTATTACCACTGTGATTGATACAGAGCCGATCTGCATATTGTAGCTCTTGCAATATCAGCAACACTGGGTGATATTGATCGAATTATGATATCTTCCAAATGTATCACAGCATCACTTTTTCAGACCATACTTAAGCTAGAAGTAATAAACTTAAAGACACTAATTTTTCTGTCTGAATGTCTTCTAAACCTGACATGGCTTGTTTTGATTGCATTTTGATCCACTTTCTTCTTTTAAAATGAAACCAAAGGGACTCTTACAATGTTGTAAATAATTAGACTGAGAACATATTTCCAGGAATTGCTATTTCTTTCATTTTTATGGCTTTCAAAACATTCTGAAGCACAGAGGACATTTAAAGGACTACTACAGTTAACTGCCAAGCCCCTGGATACCTCAGTAAAGAGCACAGAATTAATTAAAATTCCACAACCACTTGGCAACTTGAACAATGCAATTTAACAAGCATAATATCACGGATAAAATGCAAGCAAATGCTAGATATCAAGGATACAATGCTCACTATCAATCAAATGTACAGCTAAAAATATCACTACATCATGTGAGTAGCACATAATACCTGCGCAGATGATATATCTGCGATACGTATCACAATAACCACAAGCGAATATACACGGCAGCCCTATTCGAAGCACCACAGACGGCTCCTCTGACAACAAAATTCCCCTCCAATATTCAGTGACACCCGTATTGGTTTACAAGTCAAGTCCAAACTTCAAAAGCTTTATGGAAAGTTCTGGAGCAGCGACATGGAAACTTTCTCAACACGAGCCAGATATTTAGCTCCAACCAAAGCACGAAAGAGTCGAGTCAGCTTACCAGTAATCACAGTCATCACACAGTGTTTTAAAGAAGCCAAATTCAGGTCAATACCAGGAAAGCTGGTCAAGGATCATATCCTATTTATATAATTATCGTTATTAGAAAATGAAATGAAACTGAGACTAGACCAGAACTCTTACTGTAAAACAGCTGATGCTCCTTGGGTTTATTTGGCAAGAATTGTGGACCCATTCAGTGCAACTGTATGCATGTATGACACCGTTCAGCCACAATCAGCTTTGTTTCTACACTCACTGTCCATTCTATCAGCTCCACTGACCATCTAGGAGCATTTTGTAGTTCTGCAATTACAGAATGTAGTCCATCTGTTTCTCTGCATACTTTGTTACCCTGTTTTACAGGTCAGGAGCCCCACAGGACCACCAGAGAGCAGGCATTATTTGGGTGGTGGATCATTTTTAGCACTGCAGTGGTGGTGGTGTGTTGGTGTGTGTTGTGCTGGTGCGAGTGGATCAGACACAGCAGTGCTGCTGGAATTTGTAAATACCTCAGTGTTGCTGCTGGACTGAGAACCAAAAATATCCAGCCAGCAGCGTCCTGTGACCACCGATGAAGGACTAGAGGATGACCAACACAAACTGTGCAGCAGCAGATGAGCTGTCGTCTCTGACTTTACATCTACAAGGCGGATCAACAAGGTAGGAGTGTCTAATAGAGTGGACAGTGAGTGGACACTGTACAAAAACTCCAGCAGCACTGCTGTCTCTGATCCACTTGTAGCAGGAGCACCCAAGCAGGCTGAAGTTCACCTCTTATTCCAATTTGCTGTTCTACCTTTAACCCTTGTGTGGTGTTGATGTGTTTGTTACTCAGTGGTCTGGTGGACCTACCACATTATTTTTTTTTAAAACAGCCATAACAATTTATGTAAAAATACCAGATGTAAAAATATCACAAGTGGCCAACGTAGGGTTCTCCTTTAGCAGCTGTAGCCAGTCAGCAGGCTGTCCACCTTCACACACACACACAAACACAGGCACACACACACATATGCAAACAAATACACACACACACACACACACACACACACACACACACACACGCACACAAACACTAACAGCAGGCCATGTAGGAGGAGAACAGCGAGTTTACCCCAACACCACATGTAATATAAATGTGTAGGGGGTGAACAGTGTGAAGACACTGAAAATACGTTATTTTATATGTTCTTCACAGAAACTGAGCAAAGGCCAAGAAATCTGAGGTTGAAATATTAATAAATAACATAATTTTTTCTTTTGGTAAACACTGAAAATGGGTCCCACAGACCTCTACACAAGGGTTAATGCTACAGAATGTTGCAGGATGAAACTGCTGCACCATTTAAAGTGGAATGGCAAATGTTTTGAAGGGTCAAAATATAAGAATGTATATATATATATATATATATATATATATATATATATATATACACATACCTATATACACACATACATATATATATATATATATGTACATTCTTATATAATATCAATACACTGGTGCCAAACCCGGAAAAACCTCTACAACTCTGTGGACAATTTGTGTTTTAATTTCATTTTTACTTAACATTGTACCATATTACATATATTACATATATAACATTGTGTGAATATTTGAACTGTTCAAAAAATAATTTAAAATAAAAACTAATTGTTTTATATATAATAATAGGCTGCACTGGCTACAGATAACTGTTAAACCTCTTTAAATGTATCCAGGAGGAAGGTCTTTAAAACTGCCTGTTTGCTTAAACACCATCTTTCTTTTTTGTGTTGGCCCGTATTGTTGCTGGGGGAAGGAGGTCAAAGCACATTACACTTATTTCACGTATGTGTGTGTGTGTGTGTGAGAGTATAAAACATGTGCTCGTGTGTACCTGCGGGGCTGGCTCTGCTGCTTTGTGTGGCTGCGCAGTGAGGTGTGTCTTGTGGCCATTGCGTCGGTGGCCTTTGTAGCCCCCTCTGCTCTGCTGGGTCTGATCCCAGCTGGACTGCCCTGTAATCAAGCAGAGATCCATCAGAACATTTATCTTCGTCATCCATCTCTTGGCTGAACATGCAGGTCAGATGGGGGGTGATAAGAGAAGGATTAGAGCCATTTAGCAAATATTGGCCCTCAGCTTGGAAATGTGGAAAAAAGAAATTACTGGGGGGGATAAAAACAGAGGAGAGAGGGAGAGAGAGAGAGAGAGAGAGAGAGAGAGAGAGAGAGAGAGAGAGAGAGAGAGCAAATGAAAGGGAGACAACTAAAGAGAAGGAAAGAGAGACAATTAAAGAGAAGGAAAGAGACAGCAAGAAAGCAGGAATGAGAGAACAGGAGAAAGAAGGGGGGAGACAGAAAAATAGAGAGAAAGAGGGTGAAAGAGAAAGGGAGGGAAAAAGAAAGAAAAAAACAAAAAAGGGAGGAGGGTAAAGAGAGAGCTGGAAAAAGAGAGAGACAATGAGAGAGAGAGACAACTAAAGAGAAGACAAGATAGACAGCAGGAAAGCAGGTATGAGAGAGAGAAAGAGAGAAAGAAGAGAGAGAGAACGAGGAGAAAATGGACAGAAGGAAAGAGGGAGGGGAAGCAAAAAGAGAGAATGAAAAAGACAGAAAAAGGGGAGAGTGGTAAATAGAGAGTGAAGGAAAAGAGGAAAACAAGTGAAAGAGAGTGAGACAGAGAGCTAAAAAGAGGGAGACAGACAGCAAGCAAGCAGGAAAGACAGCAAAGGAGGGAAAGAGGAAGAGAGCTTATGAGATAGAGAGAGAAAGTGAGAGAGTGAGAGAGAAAGAGAGAGAGAGAGAGAGAGAGACTGAGCTTCATAGTTGGTCTCCATCATTCTTGAACCATGTCAGCCAAAACGTAAGGAGCGAATGGAAAGAAGAAAGAAAGAAGGAAAGAAATAAAAAGCGGCAAGAGAAACAGAATGAAATTGAATGAGTGATGGCCTACTTTCCCCACTGCCAAGTGGAACAATTAAGAGGAAAAAAACAACAGAAAAAGACTAAGAGACATGAAGTACCCTCTCGAACTCGTCCTTACACCAGCATACTGTGTCCACAAACTCAGAGAGAGAGAGAGAGAGAGAGAGAGACAGAGAGAGAGACAGAGAGAGAGACAGAGACAAAGAGACGGGCGGGGCTAAGTTACATTACAGCAGGGAATCACACCTCAGCCCAAAAACAGATAGGGCCTGAGGGAAACCCGAATCTCCCTCAACTCAGTTCCATTATGTGTGAATAAACCCTTTTACAATGGACATATTGCGGCCAAGACCCCTAACAAGCTCGCTGAGGGGGCCAGCAGAAACTCCCTGAGATGGCATGGGAGAGAAGCCAAGAGCCGTTTGAACTGATTAGGTGCCGACTCTCAGCAGCCAAAGCCAGCGGGTGTTACTGATCAGCTGGAACAAAAGTGCTGGACCAGATGACTGGACTGGAGCAGAACCGGTTAAATCTGAGAGGAACACTTTAGTGGGAAATCTCATTTATACAGTTTTGGCTCCTCACAACAAATACCGTCAATTAGCCAAGTCACGTCTGACTTGGTATGAGGCTAATTGGTGGGGTATAAACTTCCATTATCTGTTAGCCGCATTAGCTCACTGCAAAACATTTGGGTCAGAAAAGAAACCTTTGTAAATGAGGAAGAGAGGTGGGGGGGTGGAGAGATAAGAGTGGAGATAAAGATAGAGGGATACCTGCAGAAAGAGAGAAAGAGGGAGAAAGACAAAGAGAGAGAAAAAGAACAAGGCAGAGAAGGAAAGGAGAAAGAGTGAAAGAAAGAGGAAGACAGAGAGGCAGAAAAAGAAAGAGGGAGAGGAAGAAAGACAAAGGAAAAGAGAAAGAGATAGAAAGGAAGGAAGAAAGAAAGAGAGAACAACAGAGACAGAGGTTGACAGAAAAAGGAGGAAGAGAGACAAGAGAAAGGCAGAGGAAGAAAGAGAGAAAGAACAGAGGAAAAGGCAGTGAAAGAAAGAAAAAAGAAAGAAAGAAAGAAAGAAAAAGACAAAACAGAGAGAGAGGAGGGAAGAAATGGAGAAATATGAGAAAATAAGAGAGAAAGAAGGAGAAAAAAGAGGGAGGAAGAGAGTGAAAGAAAGGGAAAGAGAGAAAGAGAGAGGGGAGATAAAGAAAGAAAAGATAGAAAGACAGAACAACAGAGAGCAAGAGGGAGAAAAAGAATAAGAAAGGCAGACAAGGAGATAGAGAGAGAAAGAAGGAAGAGAGAGGGAGAGGAAAAGAGAGAGAAAGAGAAGGAAGAGACAGGTAGAAAGACAGACAGACAGAGAAAGAAAGAAAACAGAAGCAAAAGAGAGAGAGAGAGAGAGAGAGAGAGAGAGAGAGAGACAGAGACAAAGAGAGATACATTACCTCTTTGGTCTTCTCTTCCTCAGTGTGCTGGCCATCCATACCGTCTCCCTGACCCAGCAGGGTGAGAAGCTGACCCCCCCGAGAGTGACTGTGGAGCTGGTTCAGCCCCTCGGCCCAGGACAGAGGATCTCTCAGAAACGGCCGGCCGTAACGCACACCGATCATGTCCATCAGAGACGCCAACAAAGCCGACTGCTGCTCACCCAACTGACCGACCAAAGTCATCAACACAAACGGACAAGGCTGACCTACAGAGAGGACAGCGTTTACATGTATGTGTGATATGCAGTACTAAGCAAATCAGAGACCACCTTCAATTATGTAATTTCCAGTCAAAACTGCTATTGATTATAATTTAATAATTTTCAGGAAATAAATCTGAGGAGATCAGATATGAAATAATCCACATGCATAATATAATAAGTGAAAACAAGTGTCCAAAACTGGAGTTTAAAAAATGATTAAGAGCTACAGAGAAAATGGGGCTCCTAACAACCACCTGGAAGACCTGGTAGACACCAAAACTGCCCCCATTAGACAGCTGGTCTGGTCTGAGGAGTGTGTGTGTGTGTGTGTGTGTGTGTGTGTGTGTGTGTGAGTGAGACTCACGGTGTGTGTGTGTGGTGCGTAGTGCTGAGAGCTCGGTGTGCAGCAGTCTGGTCTGGGCGTCTGACAGGCTGAGGAAGAGAAGGGAGGGTGAAGGCTGCTGAGAGACAGAAAGCAGAGTTCCATCGCCCGCTAAAGCTCCGTCCCACACGCCGTAACCGCAGAGTTCAGAGGGTACCACGGCAACCATGATGCCATCATCACCATCTGCTGCTGAGAAAGAGAGAAAGTTAAAACATTAGATATGGCACAATCACATGATTTCCAATACTGAAACCTTGAGTACTGTCTGATTACGATCTATTGGCCTTGCATTTTTTTCCCTTTGGAAATAATTATGATTTAAAAAGAGCCATTGCTATTTAAAAAGACCTATAGGACAAACTAACGTTGTCACAACTGCAAAGAACTTTCTTTCAGGTGGATTATGCAGATAGCTCTGCACTGATACAGGATTTTGAACTAATTTTGAGAGTTATTTAGCCATGATACCGGAAAAACGGAAAGTTTTCTGTTTTTCCAGTATCTTGGCTAACTATGGTAACCTTATCTTAGGATATGTTTACAGAAACTTCCTATCTTTCCAATATCTTTGCTTATTTAGTATCCAGTGTCCTGACATATTTAGCCAAGATACTGGAAAAAACAGAACTTATCTTAAAAAGATACGTTTACAGAAACTTTCCATTTTTCCAGTGTATTGGCTAAATAAGTCTCAGAATTAGTACAACGGAAAGTTTCTGTGAACTTATCTTCTTATCTGATTCTTAAGAGGAGTTTACAGAAAGGTTATGTTTTTCCAGTATTTTGGGTAAACAAGTCGAAGAATTACACATTCAAAAACAAGAACTGACCCAAACATGAACCAACTGAACCACAGTTCTAGTACCTGCTCGAGAGACTGCTGCAACCGTGTATACTGTTAGATTTCTTCATAAAAAGCATCAAAAATCTCTGATATTATGCTGATGTCTCGTTAGCTAGCTAGCTAAATATCCCGTTCCACCTTAAATGGTCCAGCAGTGCCAGAATGTAACTGCTGCACCATTTAAGGTGGAACGGGAAAATCTGAACAAGAAGCTGACAAATAGCTGACTTCAGCTTCATATCACTGAAGAATTAGGGGTGGGCGATAATAATTGCATCCCCCTCTTTGAAGGCATATGATTCCTTGAATGTAACTAAAGCCCAGCAGTGAGGAGCTGAACTTTACCCTCCTCTGCTGTCACTGCAGACTGGCAGGGTCGCCTACAGAGCAGCGCTAGTAGCTGTTAATGAAGTGATGTTCTTTTGTATTTGAGGGTCCCATTTTGTAGGGCAAGATTCCAACCGCTACCCCTGCAACTCAGTTCCAAGGGGCAAGGTAACACTCGAAAAAAAAGGGATGGGGTAAAAATAAGAAATGGGATTGGGCCTTTGCTCCTAATTTCTTTTTTGGCTCTAATTTCATTCTTCACTGTCTTGTGATTGGTGGCATGTCAGAAGCTTTAGCGTTTTATTTCAGACCAAAATAATGCAAAAATTGGAAAAACAGAGCCATACAAACTTCGGTTCCTATGCTGATAGATGCTGGACTTACTCTGCAGTTCCACTGCGGTTCTGTAAGTTACCCTGTCTTAAGTAGATTTTTGAAGTGATACTTTTGTACATTTACTCAAGCTGCTTGATATGAAGGCACCTTTACATTTACTTGTGTCATTATTTTACACAAATATCAGTACCTTCACTTGAGTATTAATTTAGGGTACTCTACCCACCTCTGCATGTAGCACTGTTTTTGTGGGGCCCACTGGCTAAGTCACCTCAAAGTCACAGGTGGACTGAGAATAGTCCATGAACCAAAAACATCTTGTGACCACTGATGAAGGACTAGTGGATGACCAACACAAACTGTGCAGCAGCAGATGAGCTATCGTCTCTGACTTTACATCTAAAAGGTGGACTAACAAGGTAGGAGTGTCTAATAGAGTGGACAGTGATTGGACACCGTGTTTGAAAACTCCAGCAGCACTGCTGCATCTGATCCACTCACACCAGTGCAACACACACTAACACTACCACCACCACATATACATATATGTGTGTATGTATATATATATATACACACCGATCAGGCATAACATTATGACCCTTGTTTCTACGCTCATTGTCCATTTTATCAGCTCCACTTACTATATAGGTGCACTTTGTAGTTCTACAGTTACAGACTGTAGTCCATCTGTTTCTCTGATACTTTGTTAGCCCCCTTTTACCCTGTTCTTCAGTGGTCAGGACCCCCATGGACCCTCACAGAGCAGGTACTATTTGGGTGGTGGATCATTCTCAGCACTGCAGTAACGCTGACGTGGCGGTGGTGTGTTAGTGTGTGTTGTACTGGTGCGAGTGGATCAGACACAGCAGTGCTGCTGGAGTTTTTCACAACAAATCAACAAAACACTGAGAAAGAGAATGAAAGAGTGAAATAGAAAAAGAAAAAAGAGAAATGATTGAATCATTAGGCACGCACAGTGCATTGTGCCATGACATTAAATTGATGTCCTATAATTATCGTGATTACAGCTAAATAGCTTGTTTACTATTGCGAGTAAACAAATCAGTTTTCCCTTTTCCACTTTTTTGTAAATAAAAATGCCTGAGAAGCTTTGACTTAATAACCACTGAAACCTCAGAACACACCACTAATCTCTCTCTCTCCCTCTCTCTCACATACAGACATGTACACGCCCGTCCGAGCACGAGCACTGCAGACATGCAAATAAGCCCTCCGCTTCACCTCGGTGTCACAGACATAAATAGAGATTTAAGCTGAGCCTTCTTAACATAAGACACAGAGAGAGAGAGAGAGAGAGAGAGAGAGAGAGAGAGAGAGAGAGAGAGAACGAGTGATGGGTGAACCCTCGATTTGATGTGGTTGACGACTGGCCTGCATTATGATGTGCAGTTATATGAAAAAGTTTGAACGCCCTCTGTCAAAATGACGTTTTGTTGATTTTCTAAGTGAATCCTGTACAGGAAACATACTTACAGCAACATTATGTAACAACTTTACCTTATAAACAGCTTAAAAATCATTTTGATGGTATCTTGACTTATAATAGTGAGAATGTTGTCTCTATCATTGCCCCTCCAGGCCCGGGACGCCTGCTATAGCGCTATGTAACTTTAGAGGAGCGGGCACAAGGCATTTTACGAGAACTGCGTAACGCTTTACAGCACCATGGCACCCACCAACAACTACGGCTTTCCAGCTAGCTATAAGAAGCAGCTCATCCCTTCCAACTCCATAACCCTGGAGCACGCGTTCAATGGGAATGCCCCTTAGAACTTTATTACAAAGTGTAGTGGTTGAAATCCTCCCTAAAAAAGTTTGTGAGTTTCTTTGACTGCTTGCACAGCCCTTATACCAGTCCTCCTATTTCTTTCCACATAGCACTCCATTAAAGGATGCAAAACAGTCTCACGGCTAAAGGAAAACAACAAAAACCCGACAGCAAAGTGTTCATCCCAGCCAATGTTATTTATGAAAGATCGCGACATAGGCTGTAACCTTATCTTTCTGAATTCCGACTCCCTGGAAAAATCCGACTCCTCTTCGCGTGCATGCGCATCACACAGGCATGTAGATGCCATAGATTATTTTCAGTTATTTTCAGTTGTCTACACATAGAAACATCTGTAGCATCCATATGCCTGCGTGATGCATATGCACGCCAAAAGGAGTCGAATTCTGTATCCCACAGCTCATCAACAAATGCACGTGCACAGCTGTCCAGGAGGCGGGGCTCAAAGTGTGATCTGTATTTACGACAGTAGTGTAAAAATCGAATACACTCCACAACTATAGGGGGAGCCCAAGACCAATTCTTGCATAATGCAGCTTCAACACCTTAAATATGCCTTTTTCAGCTTTTTTTTTAGTGCACAATTTGTATTTATTGGTGGATTATATATATAACATGTAATATATTGGAAAAAATAAAACATAATATGTGCCAGAACTTTTGCACAGGCCACGCTGAGTATTTTTTGTTTTCTCCAACATGTTAAATTCAGCAAACATTCAGTAATTGTGCATTAAAACGTGCTGTACTTATTTATGTGTACTTATTTTGACTAAGAAAACCATGAAAACATGTCATTTGGCCAGGGGCGCATACACTTTTGCAAACAATTATCTTTTATGGATCGTGTGAAAGCATGGATTCATTAAAACGTCCGAAGGACATCTGTGACTGGTCAGGACGATGGCAGCAGTGATGATAATTAACATCTTGTGATATCCTAGTGATGTATTTAGTTCTTATGTCTCTTTTCCCCCTAATGACACAACTATTCCCGAAGCATGTTCCGAAACATTCCGACTCTGTAACCCTGGAGCGTGCCTCCAAAAGGAGAACACCATGGTGCCGTAAACACTGAACATTGAAACCATCTGAACTGAAACCTCCACAGCTTTTTCTCCCTTTAAACAATAAATCTCTTCTCTGCACCAAGGTACACAGCCTCCTCCCTGCCTCGCTCTCTCCAGCATGCTCACCTTTCAGCGGTATGGAGATGCTCTCGTCTGTGATCTGCAAAAGAGGAGACAGAAAGGGAAAACATCATCGTCATCACCATGTTACTGCAGGAAAAGCTCAGTACAGGACGTAGTAAGAGTGATTGAGTGAGGAAGGCAGTAAATAGCAGTCTAAATTAGAAGGCGGCCCTGCTATGAAATGAGCTTTTACAGACTGAGAGTGGGTTTATAGGTTTGTCTGGCAACAAACACTGACAGAACGCTCTGACCCTCTTTTTTAAGCCTTAAAGCGATAGTTTACACAAAAATCTCATTTAAATTAACCTACTACGAGGCTAATGCCGCTATATGCGGATACCTGACCATCACACCTATATGAGCTTGTTGGACACCCCACTCCAAAACCATCAGCATTAAAATGGAGTTCCCCGCCTTTGCAGCCATAACAGCTTCCACTCTTCCGAAAAGGCTTTCCACAAAATTTTAGGGTGTGTCTGTGCGCCCATTCAGTCAAAAGAGCATTTGTGAGGTCAGGCACTGATGTTGGATAAAAAGGCCTGGCTCTGAATTGCTATTCCAATTCATCCCAAAGGTGTTCAGTTGGGTTGAGGTCAGGGCTCTGTGCAGGCCACTGGAGTTCCCCCACACCAAACTCATCAATCCATGTTTTTATGGAGCTGGCTTTGTGCACATGGGCTCAGTCATGCTGAAACAGGACAGGATCTTCACCAAACTGAGGCCACAAAGTTGGAAGGATATAATTGTCCAAAATGTCTTTGTATGCTGTAGCATTAATATCACCCTTCACTGGAACAAAGGGGCCCAAACCCTGAACAGCCTCAGCTCATTATCCCTCCTCCACCACACTTTACTGTTGCACTATGCATCCCAGTAGGCAGGGTTCTTCTGGCATTTGTCAAACCCAGATTAATTCATCAGACTGCCAGATAGTGAATTATGATTGACCACTACAGAACATGTTTCCACTGCTTCAGAGTCCAGTGGCGGTGCTTTACACCACTCCAGCTGACGCCTGGCGTTGCGCATAGGGATCTTTGGCTTGTGTGTGGCTGCTCAGTCATGGACACTCAAGCTCTGATGTTGCTTCCAGAGGCAGTTTTGAGCTCTTCAGTACGAGTCAATCTACTGCCAGTGTTTGTCTAAGGAATTGCATGGCTATGTGCTTGATTTTTTACACCTGTAAGCAATGAGTATGGCTGGATCACTTGAACTCAATAAAAAGGAGGGGTGTCTTTTGGCCTTGCAGTGTAACTAACACATAATGATAGCTTAAACTCCACCAAGTAGCATCATGCTACCTTCATGCCTAAATCATTAGTGTGGAACTGTTAAGCTTAAGAAGACTGGGGTAGTTTCTGACACTGTATTGCACACAGTGATACCTAAAAAAACATGGACAAATGCATTAGCTAAAAATGGTATCCTGAAGCCCATACTTTAGTCTATTTTTATAGATAATAGCAGAGATCGTGAGTCTGAGTCAAGTCTTAGTAATACTTGACTTGAACCCTCCAATATAAAAATTGAAATAAACATGCCACGTTAGTCATAACAGCTTATGTCACATGCTAATTGTTGCTGTGAGACCTCTTGATAGCTTTCAAGATGACAATTACCAATAATGGTAACATGACACTGTTACACTACTGAACATAATCTGTCATGCCACGTCAATGGCATGGTTTAGTTAATGTAGCAGGGTTCAAGTGTTACCACTAATTTTAGCGACGTCTCTTCATTAGCTGTGGGCACTGCATCATACAAAACTCCAACGAAAAGCCTCTGCCAGGTTTGAATTAGCCTCAGAAAAAAAACGAGCCATTCATCACAGAACAACCTTCTAAACTCAGGCGCTACACACAGTAAATTTGGTGTTTAATGAAAAGAGCTCAAAAACAACTTGGCCACTCTAGTTTGTACAGCAGGTATGCTAGCTAGCACAGCAGCAAGTTTGTATGTTTTAAAAGGAATGTGATCTGTTACTTGCTAAACCTTCAACTAGCGGACAACTGAAGCTAAATTAGCTACTGTGTTTGCTTGCTATGCAAACTACATGCTTGCCAACTGTTTCAAGCAACCATATTCCATTGTGTTTATTCCAGACTTATGATTCTATTTTTTTATTTTAAAAAGTGTTGACAAAGGAACAAATAAGCAACTTTCCCCTTGTTCCAGCTTTCAAAAGCAGGTAGTGATACAATAAGCGGTATTAACTCCACTGAGAGGTGTCCAGACACTTTGGTAACACTTGCAGCTGATGCTAACAATTTGGTGAATGCTTTACTCTTCCGTTTGAAGTTGCCAAGCACTAGACCTATTATATCAACAGTAAGAGAACCAGAATGTAAACTAGGATGGTATGATGACGTGCTGACTGCTATTTTCAGATATACTACGTTTTAGAGGTTGGCATGTGCTGGTGACATATTAGAGGTGACATATGCTGGTTAATATGCTAACGCTATTAGTATTTCTGCTAGCAGCCACAGAATGAGTGTTTTCGCTCATATTTTCTTACTTGACAGAGAAAAACTGAAGCTTTGTTTGATTCCACACAAGATTCTGTGTGTAGACATTTGTGTGAATGTGCAGAACAGTGCAGTGTATCGTTTCATATCAGCCAAAAAGGTAAGCTAACTGGCAAGCAACATGGCTAATTAGTCAAACTAGATGTTTTAGAGCGACAAACTTATCAAAAAGAGTGGTTATCAAAAAAAGATTTTTACAAACGGTTTGGCTCAGTTCTTGTTTTTGAATGTGCAGTGGAAAAACACCTCGTAGAGCCTGCAGTGAAATGTATGGGTGGTAAATATTCTGGATTATATGACAAAAATTAACCACATAAGTCACCAAGTTATTGATCTGAGAAGATCCCATTTTTTGCATTAATGTGACAACAACCTGATGTTTTCGGAGCAGTGTGGACACACAAATCTGATGTTTTCAAATCAGATACGAGCCACTTTCATACGTGGTCCTAGATGGGATATGTATACAATTCGTGGTCATGCGATCCTAATGAGAATGCTCAAGTTGGAATTCATGTGTTTTTTTTTTTTCACACTGCACCTGCACCATTTTTCAGTGTTAACATAGCAGTTACCCATCGTTATCCACGTGGAAGTAAATTCTTTGCTGTTGTGACGTAATGCGAATTTGTCCTATTTGAGACGCTAAGATGATGGGTGTAATGTGTGAATCACTTCTAATCTTAATCCACATAGCAATAAAATAAACCCCCAAAACACAGTAAGAAGGACGAAGCTAAAGTTGGCTTGCTATTCACCAGCTTCTTGTTCGAGTTTTCCTGTTCCACCTTAAATGGTGCAGCCGTCACTTTCTGGTGCCTTAAGCTGCACCATTTAAGGTGGAAGGGGAAAATCAATAGGGGGAGAGCAATATTCTTGAAATAGTATAATTTTGGACAGTATCTTTCTTAAACTGCCGCTCTGTAATGGTACTGAATGCAGTCCAGCAGCGATGCTGACCGCCCCAAAATGGCTGGCTGGACCCAACACGGCATCTAGGCTTCCATTACTTGTTAACCACATTAGCCTCTTAGCTCCAGTGCCAAACTAAAGGGGCCAACCTCAGACATCAAATACTTCTTCTCTGATTCACTACATTTGGGGAAAACTGTGTAAAGCCAAACATATTTTAGTGATATAGGTTTACAGAACTTTTGATGCTGCGCATTTATTTTGATAGGCATAATTTCCTGCTTACACTGCCTGTCATTGAAAGCCTAGCACTAAACAGTAACACGTAAGCCTACATTCAAAATTCAATTAGCCTTTTAAAGAAACCACATACAGCAGTTCGGTAGCCTTTCTCGGCAAAAGAAAATATGACACTAACAATATTAAGCATGGTTATTCTTGCAGAGAGGACCGAAGCGAGGGCCAGTAACCACAGTGTTTTGTGTGGCGAGACGTTAGCTATAGAAACTACGAAGGCTTCCAAGCGTTAGCCTGTTTGTGAAGTAAATTCGAAGGGTTAGAAAGTTAGATGTGCTTATATTCTGCACTAAAAAGTGACACACTGACCTACTGAGCTGTCATTACACAACACTCCTCTTTAACACATGCTAACAGGGCCTATCAAACACTGGACGTTGGCCTGTACTCGCAACAGCTCTTAATTGCTTGTTAAAGTTAACATAAAAAAACCCACACAAGTTCACATTGTTTTGGTCTTCTGAAGCATTTATAGACACATGAGGATGATTAGTTGCGATGTGTTTTGGTGTTCTGGCTTGGTTTGATCAGTGTTTTGGTTCTGATATGCATGGAACATTCAAATTTCCAACACTCGGGATTAACTGCTCAAGACGTTTTGGCACGGCACCACTGGAGTAACACCATGAATGTTTTTCTTTTTTTTTCCCTCCTCCACACTGTTTGCAAATGTTTTCTCTTGTTAATTTTTTCCTCCATCTTTCTCTCTCCATTAAAATGCCTGTTCAACTTTTTTTCATGATTAACATCAGGATTAAAATGAAAGTCGCTGCAAACAGACAGCCTATATCAGATTACACAAAAACAGAACAGATCAACAGGCCAGTTGTCCGTGTTTGTTTTCGTACATGTTGTTTGGTACTCGTATCTGTTTGTCCTGTTTTTTTTCAAAAGAGAAAACAGAAACTAATTTCTTTTGGTTATGGAGGTGAAGATCAGTATTAGATTCAGGCTTTAGGAAATTCTTAATTCTATATCGACACATACATGTATATATATTTACATGTAGAACACAATTCATATATGTAATGATTTTTTACTATTTATTACTTTAATTAAGAGTTTTTTTCCCCATTACTTATTATTTATATACTTTATTATTTGGCCAAAGCACTAATATTAGAATAAATACAGGTAACACAATAAATAACACAATAAATAGTGATTTTTTTTGTATGTCAATTGTGATCAGTGCACCGTTTCTAAGCTTCCCGTACAAAAAATTAGGGGGTCCAGTGCAGTGAACGTCTTGTTGTGGAAAATGGGTTGCAAAGCAGATGTTAATGATGGACAAAAGAGTGGACAAAAGGCTGCATTTGGGCAGCCAAAGGCTACAGTGTGAAGGAAGTATCTGAATTTGCAGGTGTATCGAAGCATACGCTTCAGGTGTATCGAAGCTCCCCGAGATAATTTGTCACCACCTAAACATTCTTTGTCCAGGGAGCTTATTTATTTACAGAGTTTAATATAAAGGATAAAACAATTTATTATATAGGCGATAATATATACATACGACAGCGATGATATATACACGCACACACAGAACATTATCATCATTACAGACAGGGTCTTCTATATAATACAGGACTTTTAGGCCCAATCCCATTTCTTCTTTTCACCCCTACCCCTTGTTTTCAAGTGTCACCCTAACCTTGGAACTGAGTTACAAGGGGTAGTGGTTAAAATCTTCCCCAACGAAATGGGACAACCCTCAAATAAAAAAAAAAACAAAACAAAAAACATCACTTCATTAACAGGCTACTAGCGCTGCTCTGAAGGCAACCATGCCAGTCTGCAGTGATAGCAGAGAAGGGAAAAGTTCAGCTCCTCACTGCTGGGCTTTAGTTACATTTAGGGAATTGTATGCTTTCAAAGAGGGGGATATGATAATTATTTATTATCACCCACCGCTAATTCTTCGGTGATACAAAGCTGAAGTCAGCTATTCGCCAGATTCTTGTTCGAGACATTAGCATGCAATTAGCGATTTTTTATGATTGTTATGAAGAAAACGACCATAATACATTGAAACGACATTAAACTAAGACAATATAATGGTTATCATAATTTTTTGTGGGTTTCTTCGGTCTCCTGTGCAGCCATCATGCCGTTTTTTCTTTTTTTCTCATAACACTCTGAGGTTTTTCAGAGGCACACTCCAAACAGTTTGGAGGGCCATGTAGGCCTAACACTTCGCCCCACCCCTCTATCTCAACAACAATTGGGACACCCTACCTCTAGACGTGAACGTGCAAAACAGAGGGTTAAGGGGTAAGTAGCAGGGGCGAGGGGTGTAATGTGATTGGGCCATAATGTGCAATGTGTTTTTGCATGATTCACACAGAGATCTGTTTCTCTCTCTACAACCCCCCCAAACATCCCCCCTCCCCAACACAATACCAACACCTGTTCAACTTCATTTTGGCAGCCAAGTAAGACACTGGAGCAGCATGTGTCTCATTAGAATCCGCAACAACAGAACAGACTGACGGCTCATGGTGTGTGTGAATGAGAGCAGGCTTGATGAAACACAACAAATGCAGGGCAACTCCGGAGGCAGTGCTGACCGGCACAGCGGTGATAACTAGCTCAGCATGTCCCCATTCATGTAGGGCACACTTTAATCAGAAGCACATCTCTGTGTGAAAGACATACAGACACTCACTTGTTTTTACACCGTGTCAGGATGTGCGTACTGTCAATTACATATATGTGAGTAACAATAATAATAATAACAATATGGCCCATATGTATTACGGAAGTACTAGGCCTGTTTCTAATCACGGAAAATCATAGTTTCCAGCCCTTTTTTCCCAGCCTCTTTGTAAGCTTGTCGGAATAACACCTGAATAACAGCAGTTATGTGGAAATACTGATGTCTTGCTATGGTTTGCATGGAACAAATCAGTACATGAACATATGAACATATATGTAAGTATCTATACACTGATCAACCACTTCATTAAGCCCAGCTCGTCGTTTCTACACTCACTGTCCATTTTATCAGCTCCACTTACCATATAGGAGAACTCCAGCAGCACTGCTGTGTCTGATCCACACCAGCGCAACACACACTAACACACCACCACCATTTCAGTGTCACTGCAGTGCTGAGAATGATCCACCACCTAAATAATACCTGCTCTGTAGTGGTCCTGTGGGAGTCCTGACCATTGATGGACTACAGTCTGTAACTGCAGAACTACAAAGTGGTCGTATATGGTCAGCGGACCTGATTAAATGGACAATGAGTGTAGATACAAGAAGGAAGTGACCAAAAGCACCTGCACTCAAAAAATACAGAACTGGGTCATTAAAATAATCCAATTTTCAACATGTACTTAAAGTATTAGCATGGAAAGAACTTGATTAATCGCAAAAATTAAATCAGTCAATCGAGCCAAATAAGAGAGAATAAACTGTGTTTTATCAAGTACCATGGAGACACACGTGAAGTCAGAACCATGAATACAGAACACTTTAATCATGCAAAGGGTTGTTTGAGTGTTCATGGTTTTATATAGAACCATTTTCTTTATTAAAGAACTCCTGAAGAACCATCATTTGTATGAGTGTACTTAAAATAATAACCCACATCGACCATTTTGGACGATTTCTCGTATTCTTGCATTTTGTGTGAGATGTAATTGGCAACTGACTCCGTCTATTTGCATACTGGGGGTGTCTTTCCCCATGTTTACTTGTTGTCTTTGTTCTAGACTATGTGCATTTTTTCCATATTTCAATTGCCTAGGCTAATTATTGTTTCCGTTACCATATTCTCAGATTGCCAAATGTAGCTCTAAATGGACTGGAGATAGGTTAGCGCAGGGGTCGGCAACAAGAGGCACCGGAGCTGCACGCGGCTCTTTTACTGTCCTGTTGCGGCTCCACAGCAGAAATAGATTTGTAGGTAAAAATAAAATAATCCTCCTTTGCAGTAAAATAAAGCTCTGCTGATCGTTCAACACAGTTTAACAATAAATGGTCTTAAACGCTGGAGTTAATGTAGAACTGCTAATTCACCCTTTAACCCTGAGGATCAGCACAGATTGCTGGTCACCACAGCAACACAGACAGCAATCTCGCCTAGCTAGTAGCTAACAAAATGGGAAAGATTTAAGACGAATTTAAGACATCGATAATTCGGAGACGAATGGACTTTTTTGCATTTATAAACATTCAACTGGTTTCCTGATATGTTTATTCTGCAACGAGAAACTGACAAACACTAAAAAGTCACGAAGCTAAAGTCAGCTTCTCCTTAGAATTTTCCCATTCCACCTTCAATCTTGTGGCAATTACATTCTGATGCCTCAGGTGCCATTTAAGGTGGAACGGGAAAATTTGTACAAGCAGCTGGCGAATGAGAAGCGACTTCAGCTGCGTAAAAAATCGAACGCTGAGAGACATTTTACAAGAAACTGTTCGACTTTTGAGGAAAAGTTTTCTGCCGGAGATGTGAGAAAAGCGGCTATAGCTGAGCTAAAGCTTAAAGTAGATTAAAGTAAGTCTGCATTTTCATTTAGATTTTTTAGACTATACTCGTACATCAACACATACTGAGACATACTTACAGCCAAGATGGTAAAACTGACATAAAATGTTGTGGATCCCAAGGTGATTTGATTTTTGTTGAAAGGACAAAATAGCTCTTCTTAACGTTTGAGTTGCCAATTCCTGGGATAGCCCAACATCAGCTAAACCCACACTTATAAATCAAGTTCAACAAACTTTAATTAGTTTGAAACGTGATGGCAGATTAAGTTGAGCCAATTTTAGCGAAATATGTTGGACCAAAAAGCCATTTATTTGTGTGTAAATCCTTTTTATAATGCAAAACATCAAGTAAAGAATGATTTTTTGAAAAATAATAAGACTTTATTAATCCTTATTTTAATGTTTTAACCTTTATCTTAACCTTAGCAACCAAAAAGAACTTACCAACATGGGTCCATTGGCGTAAGTGCATGTGGTGCCGAAGTGCAGAGTGGAGAAGGCCAGTTCCATGATGGATGGAGATTCGGTGACCTCCTTCTGGCCTCCCGCAGTTTTTATGTTTTGGCTGGTCTTCTGAATCAGAAAGAGAAACAGACAGAGAGACAGACAGACATTGATTTTCACATTCACTTAGTAAATTAAGTAAAAAAAAAACAACTGCAAAGGTTTCAGCATTTTTTTTTTCTAAAAATCTAAAAAGCCAGACAGCCCTTTGCTGGACAGTGTACATCCTACTGTATCACTGAGAAATACTGCTATCGTTTAGTCTGAACTGATTATCCTGTCATAGCCTTCCACTGGAACCTTCTGTGCTAAATCCCCAGCACTAAAAACCATGCTAAACACTCCGGACTGGTTTTGGTGCCTTCAGCCAAAGCTTCCATTAAGAACATGCCAAGTAAGCCAAACCGTATTCCTCTCTAATCAAAAGCATCTTGGCTTTAAATTCAATTAATCGAACGCATTTAAGAGTTATCGCGTTGATCTGTACGAATGTGACTTGCGGTCGAGCCGACCAGACAGACCGCGGTAAAAATGTTCTTTTTTCTAAACTCTGAACAAAAACAACTCGTCTGCAGATGCCCAGCCAACGAGACGACTGTTACTGATCACGCTCGCTGCGTAGCCTCCTGTACCTGTACCATCACACCCTCTTCTCTCTTTCTGTACTCATCCCCCTTTCCTAAATCTGCCTCTCATTTCGCCCACACCCGTAATCTTGATGGGCACCCCCAACTGCGGCTGGCCAGCAAACCCAGCTTATTTTAATCAACCCACCGACACTGAGTTCATGAGTTGTAATGAAAGGCCTTGACTGGTCACGCTGGGGGTCGCCCACATCTACGTAAACATAACATTTACCTGTCAGAACCGCTCCAACAGCGGAGCACTCTCTTGCATTCATGCCGATCTAAACGCACTCTAGAACGCCTATCGATTGCATATGTTAACGCAGAGCAAAGAACTGACCCAAACCCGACATCAGCAGAACTCACGGCTCTAGTAGTGGTTCATTTCCCATCTGCTTCAGAGACGCAGAACTGCGATCAACAGTTTAATCTTTTTTTATTCATTCATTTTATTCCACTAGGAGTACAACTGCTTGCTATTAGCTTGCAGGCTACTGATGTTAAATAATGGACCTTTTCACGGTCACTGCATTGTCACATCCGGCTGTAAATAGCAGCATTATCGAACTTCTGTCTGCTCCATTTGACAGAGCAGCAATGGAGGGTCACCGATTTTCAGCATCCCTCAAAAATCGTCCTTCGGCCTCAGCTCGGTTAATAGAAGAGCAGTTAGCATGTCTGGTAGTTCCTCTAACATGAGCGGATAGGCTAGTCTGACATGGCTTAAGCACGTCGCACAAAACTTAAAAACATTTGGATTATTATGTTCAACACCACATCACACAGCCCTAAACAGATCTGCACTCAATGCTTTATTTTGGAGGAGAAAAAGTCCACCTACTAGTTATTAGTTTTTCCTACTCAGTCCATGTAAACATTAGCAACATTAGCAAGTGCCCTGAACACCATAACCAGCTCAGAGACACAGCATCATATTTCTGCATTACAGTTACTGATCACCGAGCTACAGCAGAGTGGAGTCAATCAAACCTGTGTGATTTTTAATCACGAATGTGAGTAAATCTGTCCTACTGTACAGCCCGTATTCACTCTACAGCTCAGTTTTACTCTTTTTTGATCGGCTACCTCATTAAAAGTGAACATGACGAGCGGAGCTTTTCAGCTGAAGTTGAACATTTTTAAACTTAACCGAGTGGAAATTCAGGTGAGGCTGTTTAGTTGAATTATTGGTGCATTAGGAACACAGCAATGATTTCAGGCCATTGTTTACAGTGCGACCAGAAGCTGTTTAACGCTACTGTTTATTCTTACAAGCAAAGCCTTTAGCTGCGTTTCAAAGCCTAGGCCGCAGCCGAAGTAGTGCGGGTCCTCTGTAGGCCTGTCCTATGAAGACGCCTCTTTAGCAGCACGTTGGTCTCTTAAATGGAACAGTCCTAACGAGGCTGCGTGGGGACGTCACCAGAGCGGCGCAAAACTCGTGAGGGAACTGGTGAGAGAAAACGGAGCCCGTTGCATTGTGTTTGTTCCTTCTTTTTTTCTTTACTGAAATGGAGGACATGTTCTTATGTAGTACAATAAACTACACGTATACAAATACTTACATAAAATATGATATAGGGACGAATTTTTTAATTAAATCAGTGATTTTACACTTTATAAGGTAACGAAGACGAATTCAAGAACGTGAACAACTTACATTTTAAAACAAGCTCTTTGTTGTGCTGTTTTTTCCCTCTCATCGTTCGTGCACAGAGAACTGCAGGTAACCGAAGGCCTGGAACATCTGATGCATCCTTGAAATCACTCCGAACATAGGCTGCATTTCTAGGCTGTATACGAAGGGTCCTTCACTTTGGAACGGCCTGCTATAACATAGTGGCCGAGAAATGCAGCCCAGTCTTTGGAACACAGTATTTATTTTCATCTGTCGGCTAGCATAAATGCTAATAATGATGGCTAACTAGCTTATGTCACCTTAAGTTGACATCATAATGAAACTTTGTAAAAATAAGTTAAAACGTCCTCTTCAGAGAACACACTCCTGCAAAGTACTGTTTATTTGCTGAATTTAACATATTTCACAGCAAAAATAAGACATAAAATGTGACATTTTATATTTTATGTTTTATTTTCGCCTCAAAGCAAGAAGGTCTGGGTTCGATGCCCCGGGTCCTTTCTATATGCAGTTTGCATGTTCTTGCGGTGTCTGCGTGAGATTTCCTCACACAGACCAAAGACATGCAGTCAGGCTAACTGGAGACGCTAAATTGCCTGTAATGTTTTCTAATATTTACCAACGGTGTTTAAACTTTTGCATAAGTTAGTTAAGTTACTCATATTAATCCCACAACAGGGAAATTTTACCTCTGCATTTTAACCCATCCGTGCAGTAAAACACCCACATACACACAAGTGAATGCACACACACTAGAGGGAAGTGATCACACTTGCCCAGAGGGGTGGGCAGCTATATCCACAGTGCCCGAGGGTTAGGTGACTTGCTCAAGGGCACTTCAAACTGGCGACATTCCGGTCACAAGACTGGCTCCCGAACCTCCAGCCTACGACTGTATTTTACGACAGCAAGAGTGGGCCTTTGTGATCATGTTCCATTTTGTCCATGTTCCAAGTTGGGTCTAGTGAGTTGTGAAAAGTGAGTTGTGAAAAGATGATTCTGATTAAATGATCAGTGAACATTCATTTGTCCAGCAGACAGAGCTGTAGCTCTGCAGCCACTCCTCTTGTGTCACCATTAAGTTTGCTAGCAACTTGGGCTGGGAATTATGACATTTTTGTGATAAATGACAACATAATATGCTTTTCTGACCATATCGTGATGCATATCGTGTATCATGAAAATGTGTTTACGTATCATGAAATTGTATTTTTATATTGCCCACCCCTACTAGCAACACATTAGCTACCATCTGAGCTAGCATAGCAATGGCTTAACAGCACCTTAGCAACCAAATCCGACCAGAGCATCTTTTATATGTGGTCCTAGATCGGATACGTATCTCATTCGTGGCCCTGCGACCTTAACATGTGAACACACCATCGTTCAGTGTTACTCTGGCAGCAGCGCCAAACAGAAGTTAAAGCCTGTAAAGCAACACATCTCACCTTTCTCTCCTTCATCTCGCTCTAATAATGAAGCTGAGAGCTGATCAGAGTTAATTATCTTCTCAGCGAAGCTCGTTCTGCTCATTAGTTTGTTTGCTGATGCACGTGATTCATTCACGTGACGTTACTGAGTAGGATGTGCTCATGCCAGTCATTTCAGGACGCCGGTTCATCACATTAATGACAGATTTGAATCACTTACCTAAACGAGTGTGAACCACAGTGTCAGAGAGCAAAAAATCGAATTTGAGCAACAAAGCTTGTAATGTGAACGTAGCCCTTCTGACCAACAGACAGACAACTTTTCTCTAATAAGTCTATTTAATGTACAAATACAAAAACTACTCCACTGTTTAAATACTAAATTGCCCCAAGGTGTGAATGTGCATGTCTGTCTGTCTGCCCTGTGTTGGACTGGCAACCTGTCCAGGGTGTTTCCTGCCTTCCACCCAATGAGCGCTTGGATAGGCTGCAGCACCCCCATGAAATACTTTAACCACTCACCTGAGGGTCTTTATTCAGCTGAGCGCTCGCTCCACCCAGCCCATCACTGAGTCCCTCATCCGCTCCTTCATCTTCATCACCACTGGAGAGCACAACTGCAAGAAAGACACAGATCATGAAGAAACACATGCTGACAGAGTACTCTTTTAAAGGGGAATTCCACCAATTTTCCCTAATTTCTGAATAATTAAACGGTTAAAATGTAAACAAAGTCATTCAGACTGGTTTGACGTGAAACGCTCCCTTTTACATTGAACCATGTGACATCAGACAACTCTGAATGACTCGAAATCTTCGTGACTGAATGCAGAAATGTTGAATTCACTTTTTTGTGATGTCACGAAAACCACTACATACAGTATTTCCACCTATTCGGTCTACGACAGTTTGGCTCCCCCATTCACTCTGAAGTTATAAGGAGCGTTTCAGCTCTGGCTGCTTTTTGAATGAATCCCAATACAGGACAGCTAATCAGAACAGAGCTCATTTACATATATCAGTCTTAAAGGCACAGCAACAAAAGAGGTTGGAAAATGGGCATGAAAAATGAACTGTGATTCTCTTTGGTGAAAAACTCACACAAATGTCACACACTGATCAGGGAAAAAATAAAATACAAGAAAAGTGTAGGATACGGGCTCTTCACGGCCACTTCAGACATCATGGCACAATAAAAGCCCAGCAATGGACACCGGAGCTACAGCACCACACTGCCCCCTAATGGCCACAGGACACAGCCAGTCAAAGGGCAGGTATAAACATATGTGCATGTGTTTATGTTACTTTAATGGGCTTTTTTGGCCTTCTTTTATTTCTATCCTCATCCCTCACTCTTTATCCTCTTTTCTGTTCTCTCTCTGGCCCAGAGGATGTCCACTCCTGTCCTGTAGCAGTGACAGGGTACAGGATTTGAATGAGAGGGATTTGGAAGGTGCTGAAGCAGAACTGAGCCGTGCGTCTCCAGACAGAAATAATCAGCACAGCTTTCTCAATGAGAAGAGACAGGGAGGGAGAGGGAGAGAGAGAGAGAGAGAGAGAGACAGAGAGAGACAGAGATAGAGACAGATGCAGAGAGACAGACAGTAAAAAAAGTGAGAGAAAAGAGGAAAAGAGAAAAAGAAAAAAGAAAGAGTGAGAGAGAGAGAACAGGAAAAGAAAGAGAGAGACAGGCAGACAGAGAGAGAGACAAAAAAGCAAGAGAATACAGAGTTAGAGAGAGAGAGAATAGAGAGAGACAGAAAAAGAGTGAGAGAAAAGAGAAAGAGAAAAAGAAACTAGAGACAGAAAGAGAGCAAGAAAATAGGAAAAGAGAGAGTGACAGAGGGAGCGAGACAGAGAGAAAAGAGAAAGACAGAAAGAGAGAGAGAATACAGTTAAAGAGAGAGAATAGGGGGGGAGAGAGAGAGAGAGAGAGAGAGAGAGAGAGAGAGAGAGAGAGAGAGAGAGAGAGAGAGAGAGAGAGAGAAAACAGTGGGAGACAATAGAAAGAGAGAAAAAGAACATGGAGATAGCAGGAGAAAATATGAAAAGAGAGACAGGCAGAGAGAGAGGGAGAGAGAGAAAGAGAAAAGAGAAAGAGAGAGCGAGTGAATACAGAGAGTTAAACAGAGAGAGAATAGAGAGAGGGAAACAGACAGAAAAAGAGTGAGAGAAAAGAAAAAAGAAAGAGACACAGAGAGAAAATAGAAAGAGTGAGAGAAAACAGAAAAAGAGAGAGAGCGAGACAGAGAGAGAAAAAGACAAAGAGCAAGAGAATACAGAGTTAGAGAGAGAGAGATAGAGAGAGAATAGAGAGAGACAGGTAGAGAGAGAATAGAGAGAGAGAAACGTGGATGTACTTATTTTACATGCACATTGGTATAAACAATGCTGCAACTATTCACATTTACAGACATATTACACTGCACTTTTATTATACATGACTGACTCCACCCACAAATGACACAATAAAAGAGATACACTGCAATAATACAGAGTTTAAATATTTTATTTTACACATCATTCTACGGCCTTAATTAGACGTTTTATTTATTTACTCATCATAATTTTAACGCTGTAACGTTTGGCTGCACTCACTGCTCACCCTCAAACTCCGCCTACAATCACAGCCACTGACTCACGAGCTGCTGAATGTTTTCGTTTTATTGGCTCCCTACCGAATACCTGCTTCATGTTAATGATATGTAAATGAGGTGCTGGGTATGCTGGCACTTGATGACGCACCAAAGCTGATTCATTATTTGCGCTTAAATCTCTGCTCATTTCTACATGACTGTTATCGTTACTTTCATAACGTATGAAAGTTTCATGAATCAGACGGTTCGTACAGAGTAGCTCATACATCTACTGCCAATGTTGGTCTACATGCATTAAATGACTATGTGCTTAATTTTATACACCTGTTAGCAATGAGTGTGATCATAACTCAATAATTAGGAGGTTTGTCCACATACTTTTGGCCATATAGTGTTAATGTTTTCTTATTCGTTATCGCAATACCTTTGCAATTCGTCTCCCTGATGTGACGTCACCACAAGCCACCAGTGTAGTGACCCAGAGAAAATAATATTCTGGGTTTGCTATAAAACTGCATGCTGTTGTGCTGACCAATCACAGCTCCAGATTGTTTTTTTGACAATCTTCACATAAACTACTGGCCAAAATAATGCAGCACACTTTAATTTGAATTAATTTTAACTTTAATTATTGATTCACTCCTGCTGTTTTCATATATTACAAAGCATATCGCAATCACAATATGTAGCAATATAACCACAACACTAGAAGTGTGTCCAGATTGTAGAGCCCTATTACTGACCCAGAGATGGACGAATACACTCTGAGCATTCCATATAGAATGAATAAAGAATGCAAGACACAAGAGGAAGAAAGCACATGTACGTACTAGGCTCTGTGGAGCTGGGCTTGGCCCTCTGGGACGATTTGTATGAAAGCCTCAGCCGGAGCTTGTTTCTGGAATAGGTCCGAACATTGCCAGCTTTTCTGAAGGGCATGGAGAAGGGGTCCTTCTCTCCAGGGGTCCTCACTTGCTTCTCTGGCACTTTTCCCTCTGTGGTCTGGTCAGAAGAAGGCTGTGCCCTCTCTCCATTGCCCTTGGCCCCTGCAGTCTTGGAAAGCACAGAGAAAAGACAGAGCTACTGTTTTGTCACTTTGACAAAATCTGCAAATGGCGTATTTTTTTGTTTTACTTATTGCTGTAGTTTTATGAAGTAAGTAGGGTGAGGCAGATGAATGCACTCAGGTTTTTGCACCAAAATGCTGTAGCATACTTGTGCGTGACTCATTGTGCCTCTTACTCTTGGTGTGATTCATGTTATTTAAAAAAAGGTAACTGATTTACAACTGAAAATTTTCAAATGCCAGCTTGGCTGATTACTGAGCAAATAATGTTGTTTATATTGCAAGTTTGGCCAATAAAAAACATGGGAAATGTGCTATTGTGTTTCATTTACCCCACACAGTGTGAGCTTTGGATTAGAAAAAAAAAAAGGCTAATAAAAATCAGCCTAAGAGAGAGAAAAAAAATAGCCATGGGCCAATTTGGCTGTTAAAAAAAAACAACCACAACAAACTCTACATTTACATGGTAAAGAATGGTAAAGTAGGCCAGAAGTAATAGAGAATGTTTAACTAGTTTGCTGAATGATGCCCAAGAATTTGAAGATTTATCAAGTGTGCAGTGTCGAGTCCAAACCTTCCCGATATATAAAAATATAAAAAAAAATTCCACTTCTCTCCATTGACACACTCTGGTATCCATGATATGGCAAAAAAAAAATCCACATCATGACACAACCTAATTCTTGTATTCACTTCATACACTATATGGACAAAAACTGCCCCAGTGCACAAAGCAAGGTCCATAAAGTCATGGTTGGGTGGCCCACACAGAGCCCTGACCCCAAACCTATTGAACACCTTTGGGATTAACTAGAACGGAGATTGTGAGCCAGGCCCTCTCGTCCAACATCAGTGCCTGATCTCACCAATGCTCTTTTGACTGAATGGGCACAAATACCAACACACACACTCCGAAATCTTGTAGAAAGCTTCCCAGAAGAGTGGAAGTTGTTATAGGTGCAAAGGGGGACCAACTCCATATTAATGCCTATGGATTTAGAATGGGATAAAAGCTCCTGTAGGTTTAATGTGTAGGTGTCCCAATACTTTTGTCCATATAGTGTATCTGTAGAGCTCCCTTTCTTAATACTGGGATCGCATCTATGACTTCAGAAGTCATGTTTTTACTGTTGGTTTACCTCCACTTCAGTGTAGGATGAACCTAATGCACAAAATGAACCCATATGGTGGTGCTGGATATCTTAAGATTTCAAAAGACAAATTTAATGTCTCACTTTAGACTCTGGAAGTGTGGAGCTGAGGCTTCGGACTGACGCTTGTTGACTGACCGCAGTAGTGGACGGGCCCTTTGCTTCTTTCACTGGAGAAACAGCCTGTTTGTCCTCATCCTCACCCTCATCATCCTCCTCACCCTCCATCAGAGAAGATTTCCATGTCACTGTATGAGCAGATCCTGCAAAGAGAGGAGAACAATGTAAATTTGCATTCTCAGTACATGGTGTTCTCGTTCTCCTAGCTATCCAATCAATCCATCAATCAATCAATAAGTGCCCCTTACTGACCTTTAGGTACTCTGGGGTAGATTATCCAGCGAGAGAGAGAGAAACTGACTACGAGAACAGCAGGATCTTTTTAACAGGTCCATAAAGCTAAGCAAGTTAAGGTTTCATTCCTTTATCAGCGATACGCAGCCAGGAAAATGCTGCAGTTTTCCAGCAAAAATGTAGAGCAGAGAAAGAGAAAGGGGGAGAGAGAATGAGAGAAACAAAGAAAGAGAGGGAGAAAGAAAGAAAAAGAAAGAGAGAGCGCACATTTTCAACTTTAAGAGCTCATTAAAAGCCCACATGAGGCGGCGGCTCCAAATAGGACACACTTTCCCTCATTAGCTACATGATAATTCACGGCAGATATGTAGGCCAAGCTTTTATTTAGCCTTGAATGTCTATGTGCGTCACTATTAATTACATTATAGAGTATAAAGTATGTTTTGAGATTATGTGGAAACATTAACAACACATTTGCGTACGTTGCTTCCCACCCAACTGTAAGTGACGCATTAAACACATTTAAATGTAACAAAAATAGTTTTTCTAAAAAGGATTTTTTAATTTTGGGAAAATTATTTTGGGCGTCTGCCGCTCGACTGCATTTCATGAAAATTGTGTGGGGTTTTGACTCTTGGGCCAAGCAGGAAAGGGTTAAATTGGGCTAGAACAATTGGGAACAGCGTTCCGGCAGCCTCTAGGAATTTGGATGAGGGGGAAAGAAAAAAAAATTCTACCTCCTGTCCTCTCCAGGGTTTTCAGTTTTTACCTGTGCTGTGATGGAACCTTTAAACATACTCACTGTTGATATAGAAGCACCCTGTAGTTCTACAATTACAAACTGCAGTCCATCTGTTTCTCTGCATAGTCTGTTACCTTGTTCTTCAAAGGTCACGACCCCCATGGACCACCACAGAGCAGGTACTATTTGGGTGGTGGATCATTCTCAGTACTGCAGTAACACTGACGTGGTGGTGGTGTGTTAGTGTGTGTTGTGCTGGTGTGAGTGGATCAGACACAGCAGTGCTGCTGGAGTTTTTAAACACTGTGTCCACTCACTGTCCACTCTATTAGACACTCCTACCTTGTTGGTCCACCTTGTGGATGTAAAGTGACAGATGATAGCTCATCTGCTGCTGCACAGTTTGTGTTGGTCATCCTCTAGTCTTTTATCAGTGGCCACAAGATGCCGTTGTCAGTCCAGCAGTGCTGCTGTGTCTGATCCACTTGCACCAGCACAACACACACTAACACACCGCCACCACATCAGTGCTGAGAATGATCCACCACTAAAATAATACCTGCTTTGTGGGGGTCCTGACCATTGAAGAACAGAGTAACAAAGTTTGCAGAGAAACAGATGGACTACAGTCTGTAATTGTAGAACTACAAAGTGCTCCTACGCGGTCAGTGGAGCTGATATAATGGACAATGAGTGTCGATACAAGGTAGGTGTACCTAATAAAGTGCTCAGCGAGTGTAGCCCTAATATGAAGAGTACAATCTCCAGGCCATGGTGACAGAATTGCTGACCAGAGATCAGTGTTTTAACCTCAAGGCACTGTGAACACTCGTCACCTTGGATTAAAAGCTATATATATTGCACTCACCCCACTGCTTCTTAATGGCAGGTGTGTCTTTGTCTCTCTCACGCTGACACAAAGTGTCTGATGCTCTTTTGGGCCTCCATCTGAAACACAGAGAAAGTAGTGGTGTGAATATCAGTCTTGAATTGCTATGGTTATGATTCTGTAGTAAATGATTCAATGAGAGTGCTATAGTGATCCACTCAGCCCGTAACTGATTCACTGTACTTGATTAACAAATAAGATTCAAATGAAGGGAAATGATGACTGTAATCATGTTACAGTTACTAACAAGAGCTGGGAGCAGGAAGAGTGCTGGACAGAGGTGTTAACTGGTGAAAAAATCCATTCTCCACAATCCGCATTGTCATAGTTTTGCATTGCGATATTATGATGCATTGTTAGACCCGTTAAAATTCAATTTCATCATGATTCAATTCAGTAATTTTAGTACGGTACATAACAGACTACGGCCCAATCTTATTTCACCCCTCGCCCCTACCACTCATCCCCCCTCTGTTTTGCCTTTTCACGTCTAGGGGTAGGGTGTTCTGATTTTAGTTGAGATAGAGGGGTAGGGCGAAGCGTTCGGGCTACATGACCCTCCAAACGGAGGCTTTTCAGAGGCTCCAAACAGAGTGTTATGAGAAAAAAAAAGAAAAACCGGCAAGATGGCTGAACAAGAGACCAAAGAAACACACAAATGTGAGAATTTTCTCTGTTAAAAATTATGATATCCATTATATTATCTTAGTTTAATGGGTTTCAGTGTTTTATGGTCCTTTTCTTCATAACAAGATCGCTAACAGCCTGCTAATGTCTTGGTAGCTAGCCAGCTAAATTTTCCGTTCCACCTTAAATAGTCCAGCAGTTCTGATGCCTGAAGCACCAGAATGTAACTGCTGCACCATTTAAGGTGGAACGGGAAAATTCAAACAAGAATCTGGTGAATATCTGACTTCAGCTTCATATCACTGAAGAATCAGGGGTGGGCGATAATAAACAGTTGTCTTATACCTCTCTTTAAAGGCATATGATGCCCTAAATGTAACTAAAGCCCAGCAGTGAGGCTGCTGAGCTTTACCCTCCTCTGCTGTCACTGCAGACTGGCAGGGTCGCCTACAGAGCAGCGCTAGTAGTCTGTTAACGAAGTAATGCTCTTTTCATTTGAGAGTCTCATTTCACATGTTTCAAGATTTTAACCACTACCCCTTGTAACTCTGTTCTAAGGGGCAAGGTCACACTCGAAAACAAGGGGTAGGGGTAAAAATAAGAAATGGGATTTGGCAGTAAGAGTGGCAGTCCTACCCTCGCAAGGGACAGTGTTAGCCACTAGTTTATCGGAAAACTTTTGAATACACACTAAAGTTCCTCAAGGTTTGCGTTTTGTTGTAAATGGACTTTAGCTCTGAGTCATTCTCAAAAAAAAAAACGCCTCAAAACATGTCCATAAATACTAGAGTTCAAAACTATTCCTGTAATAATTTAGCAGATCAAGCGGAGGTCTGTATGGTACAGCCAAAAAAGTCTGCACTACTCTAAACTGTAATCTCTCTAACATTTTCCTCATAAAGTCTAAAAAAAAAAGTAAAATCAATTAAATCATTCAGGTTTATTTTAATCACTGAACCAGGCCCCCGTGCTTGTACATTCAAAATAAGAAGGCATTAAGCTTTAGGCAGTTAATTTTATTTGACATGTTTGTGAGAACAACACGTCCAAGTTTCAAGACCTGAACTCTGACAGAACGTTCCACTGACTGCTGCCATCACCGTGCAAAACTTTCCGTCTCTGCTCCGTTTAAAAACATGGAATATTCGGCGTCTGTCTACCGTCATAACGTAAACACTTCCTTCATCTAGTGTCATTATTCCATTCCTTAATGTTTCTTCTCTTTACAGACCTGACCACCTCACCTGTTTTGATCTGTGAGGGACACATGGTCAGCAGAGGGTGTCCGGGGCACCGGCCTTGAGTTTGGGCTCCCAACGGCCTTAGCGGGGTTCCCGTTCACCCGAGGAGCGCCTCTGACCTCTGACCTCTGGTGGGTTGACAGGACAGACCTGAAAGACACAAGGATCTGTTCATTAGAGTGGTCAACATGAGCTGGCGTCACTTTTTACATAACAAATGGCAGAGTACGTTCTGCACCAGCTTTGAAATGTTCAGGGAATTTTCATTATGTCACTGGCCGCTGGCTCCTGACCGGTCAACTCAACATTCTCCTCCAACAACAACTTCAGCAGGTCTGAAAATGAACGTAGGTGAAGAGCACCATCTGGTGGGCGCTTTAAACACTGAAGTCCTGCTCCACTCAGACAAACTTTACTGTACACACTTAAAAAAGATGGTTCTTCAAGGGTTCTTTAGGAAAGGCAATGGTGCAGTGTAGAACCATGAGTTTGATATAGAGCTGTGTGCGTGCTGGTTCTTTGCATGGTGACACGGCTCTTCAGATTGATGGAGAAAGTGTTGTATGTGGTTCTTTAAAGAACATTTTTAAAAATGGAGCACCACAACAGGTAACAATAACAGAACCCTTTTTGGTGCTAAATGGCATCGTTTCTCATTAGAAACTAAGTCAGAAACTAGATGAGATGCTAAGTCATAACTATGATACAGGTCATAATTATGAGATGCTAAGTCATAACCATGATATAGGTCATAACCATGATATAGGTCATAACTATGATACAGGTCATAATTATGAGATGTTAAGTCATAACTATGATATAAGTCATAACTATGATATAGGTCATAATTATGAGATGTTAAGTCATAACTATGATATAAGTCATAACTATGATATAGGTCATAATTATGAGATGCTAAGTCATAACTATGAAATAGATCATAACTATGATGTAGGTCATAACTATGATATAGGTCATAACTACGAGATGCTAAATCATAACTATGATATAAGTCAAAATTGTGAGATGCTATGTCATTACTATGACATACAAAGTCATAATCACAACAAGCTGAGTCATAACTATGACATAAGTCATAATTATGAAATGCTAAGTCATAACTAGGATATAGGTCATAATTATGAGATGCTAAGTCATAACTATGATATGTCATAATTATGAGATACTAAGTCATAACTATGATATGTAATAATTATGAGATACTAAGTCATAATTATGACATAAGACATAATTATGAGATGTTGTCATAACTATAATATAGGTCATAATTATGAGATGCAAAGTCATAACTATGATACAGGTCATAATTATGAGATGCTAAGTCATAACTATGATATAGATCATAACTATGATATAGGTCATAACTACAAGATGCTAAATCATAACTATGATATAAGTCAAAATTGTGAGATGCTATGTCATTACTATGACATACAAAGTCATAATCACAAGAAGCTGAGTCATAACTATGACATAAGTCATAATTATGAAATGCTAAGTCATAACTAGGATATAGGTCATAATTATGAGGTGCTAAGTCATAACTATGATATGTCATAATTATGAGATACTAAGTCATAATTATGACATAAGACATAATTATGAAATGTTGTCATAACTATACTATAGGTCATAATTATGAGAAGCCAAGTCATAACTACAAAAAACCAAGTCATAATTATGAGACGCTCTGTCATTACTTTAAGAGGTCCAGATTAGATTAGATTATACTTTATTGGTTGTTATCACAGTAATTGATCTTGCACAAACCCTCTGATACAATCATCAAAAGTACACAAAATTCCAAAATACATCTAAAATACATTTTTCCTCTGGTTTTATATGAAGCTTTTTTCATTTAATAGTCTATTCAGGGGATCTTAACTTTATGTAGTAGTTATTTAATTACAGTGATGGTTAAAGCTGTGTAGCTGGGTAAGTTACAGCATTCCTTAATCCGTGTAGATATTCATAATAGATTAGCGTTAGCACCTTCTTACACGAACCTAAAGTTAGTTTCTTTGCCAGCTTCTTGTTCAAATTTTCCTGTTCCACCTTAAATGGTGCAGCTTCAGGCACCAGAAAGTGACGGCTGCACCAATTAAGGTGGAACGGGAAAACTCGAACAAGAAGCTGGCGAATAGGAAGCCAACTTTAACATTGTCCTTCTTACTGTGTTTTGGGGGTTTATTTTATGTTTATGTGTATTAAGATTAGAAGGTATCCATTAGATGGATCTGCTGATGTGTGTGAGTTTGTGTTTTTAACATCAGGTGCAGACTGAATACTTTCCTGTTGGTCTGGACGGCTAATTATCACGATCAGTTATTAAAGGTATAAAAGCTACTGAGAGCCGTCAGTGCAGACTAGATTAATCTGTGTCTGAGGATTATAACAAAACAGATTAGGTGAAAATCGGTTGAGTAATAAGGAAGTTGTGGCTGATTTAATCCTGAGACTCTTCGTCTCTCAATACAAGTGAATTTGTTCACAAGCGGATCTTGACCGCTCCAACATGGCGGACACACAGACGTATCGCCTCAGATAGAGAACAACAGACAACGCGGCATCTAGGTATGCATATATATATATATATATATATATATATATATATATATATATATATATATATATATATATATGGTTAAAACAATCATAAATAACTTGAACCTGTTCAGAATTATGGGAAATGTAGGCAGTGAAGGACACATAAAAATGGCCACTCAGAGAAACTTCAGCAGGTAGTGTTATATATAAACATTCGACCCAGAATACTCAGAGTACCGTCTGAGCAGGCAGCCTTTGTTGTTTCAGACACAGCGAACGTCTTATGAATGCTGTCCTGCAGTAAAAAGTCACCTTAAAAATCATATTTTCAGCTCATGAAACAAACTGCCATTCGGCAAAGAACTTCCCAATCAAATCCACCCACAGCTTTTTACTAAAGAATGATCAGCCTTCACATTCTGCTACATTACAACACCACTTAAAGCAATCCTGCACTTCACTTCACTCTATAGCTTTACTATACCTATACCTCTACCTCTACCTCTACCTTACCAGACTGAACACACCTGAAATGCTGTCTTTGAGTGTTTTAGGAACCAAAATGATTCGATCCAACATGCTGATGAACCTACTGCCTTAACTCAACACCAAAGTTAGTGTTACAGGGCTGCTGCACAATTCTAAAATGCAGCCTTTTAATACCTAAAATGAAAATTCTACAATTTCTACAGCACAATGATGTACACAAACTCAACCATGGCATGGGATCTAGGACCACATATGACAGTGACTCAGGTCGGATTTTAAAAGATCAGATTTGCGTGTCCACATAGCCCTAAAACCATCAGATCTGAGTCACATTAGGGCAAAAAATCAGATTTGTGCCACTTCAACCCGGTAATGTGAGCATAGCCTTTTATATGTGGTCCTAGATTGGATACGTATCCGATGCGTGGCCATGCGACCCTAAGGTGATGCTCAGATCGGAATTCATGTCCTTTTTTTCCACTGCGCGTGCGCCACCATTCAGCGTTACCATGGCAGCAGCGCCGAACAGAAGTTAAAGCAACACATCTCCTTTTTCTCCTTCGTCTCGCTCTAATAATGAAGCTGAGAGCTGATCAGAGTTAATTATCTTCTCAGCGAAGCTGGTTCTGCTCGTTAGTTTGTGCTGATGATGAACGTGATTCATTTCAGGACGCCGGTTCATCACATTAATAACAGATTTGAATGACTTACCTAAACGAGTGTGAACCATCAGGTCAGAGAGATCGGATTTGAGCAAAAAATCGGATTTCAGCAATGAGGCCACAAATGTCACGTATTTTACTCACTCTGTTTCCGTGCGATAAGTTAATTATTATTTGTTTTCGCGAGATGTTATGTTATTAAGGTCATTAGGACTTAACAAATGCTGTTTTCCTAAAATCTTGCAAAAACAACATCGCTGTCATTACCGTCAGAAAATGTGGCAAGCAATAAACATCGATATAATCATTTCAAACTATCAGAAATCTTAGTACACGTGTACAATCTACTTTCAGCTCTCAAAAGGAAATCCACCCATATATCACAGTTTTGAATCATTTCATCAGATCATTCAGAGTGGTTTGGTGCGAAATGCTCCATTTTAGAGAAACTGAGTCAAAAATGTTCAGAGTGGTGGTGATGGGACCCAGATGTCCACCTCTAAAAGCTCCCTTAGAGAAAGTTATTACACAAAATGATCATGAATACATGGCCAGATGCCTGAGACATTGCTTTACAATCATTTTGAGAAGGATTTGTTTTTTTTTCCCCCAAAGTTCCCACTACTTTACCATCATCAACATAACAAATAAAAGACATGTGTAGGTTTTGGACAGTAAACAAAATGTCTACATTTGTGTTATAGTCATGGTGACCCCTGGTACCTATCCCCACCACTGTAAAGAAATCTGAAATATTCCCACCAAACCTCTCTGAACCACTAAAGTATGCAGAAATGATGAAAAATGGGTGGGATTCCCCTTTAAGAATAAGGTCATACAGCCCTGCTGCTGTGATGTTTGGGTGCTCTTGCTTAGAGTCCATTTTAGAAGCGTGTTTATAGGTCAGTGGGCTTTAATTTGAGAGACTGTGTTGGTGCAAGGAGGAGCCGAGCCCCATATCTGCAAGATGCACGTTCAGCCATAGGGAGCAAAAAAAAATCAATAGAGGAAAGCAAGCCAATTCAACATCCGATCATTTATTGTGTATATATTCGCCAATGTTAATTTAAAAAGTTTATAAAATGTAGAAATCGAGTCTAAATCTATCTGGAATACTATTACAGGTGAACACAACACTTGGGGTTACAAATTGTTGCTGTCGGAACAAAATCTCTCCATTTGTCAGGTTTATATGACTTGAAAATGCCTGTATCTCCTTACATTGTGTGTAAATTTCATGATGAATGGGCCAAAATAAATGGCTCAAAATGACTTGGAAAAGAGTCTGGTTCCATTGACTTACATTAAAAGTAAAGAAGGTTTTTTCCTTCTCTTGTAAAGTTCTCATTTTGGAGATACAAGGTTTTGTTCCCGCAACAACGAAATGCTGTAAAATGAGTAAGCTGCATATATGCCAGTGCAGCAGTCCAGCATCACTGAAACATTTGACTCTTCCTGACTACAATAAATACATAATCAAATATCGTTTTGAAATATCAGTCAAATCTGAACACCTACCGAAAGCCAACACATATTTTTATGCTAATATCCGCCAATTCTGCTATGTTTCTGACTGTGCATCCATAATATGAACACTCTACTAATAGTTGTGAAGAGGAGGCAACAAACACACACTCAGAGTGAATAAGAGGAGACAATCTGCATGCATACGGCTACTACTGAGTAACAGCTCCGCCACCAAGCGACAGTCAGCAACACCAGACACTTCCCCAGCTTTCAGATCCTGTTCCTCTCTTCCCATTTCTGTGACTTGACTAAACTCCAGATCAAGAGATGTCAGACCAACAAGCCGCTTGGGATTCGCCCTGTGATGGAACTGAGATCCACAGCTTTAAAGCACAAAACTGCTCACCTGGTAGCAATAAGGCTTAATTACTTGTTAGCTACACTGACCTCATAGCTCCGTCTGATGTCTGACCAAACCATCCCTGTAGTCCAAACAGTAGAACAGCTGTGAAGCATGTTATGATGACTCACTCCTCACCTGTCTGCTCCAGCAGGTCCAGGGCTCGCGTCTATTCTCCCATTGACGGAGCTGCTTTTGTGCGGCCTCTTGCCGTTCAAAGAGACCTGGGTCCAGCTTGTCTAGAGAACAGCAAACACTGACATGTCAAGGAACAGCTGGGCAGTAACCTGCTCTCTTATCCTAAACTGAGATATTTCAGCCTTTAGCGTTTGATCAAAGTTGGTAGTTAGAACTGATGTGTGAGTATGAGCCACCTGACTTGGTAAGACTGCAGAAACAGAAATAAGCAGTCAAACCTATGGAGGCCCTCATCATTTGACACGGATTCCAATGAAAGGGTTACTTCATACTTTGGAGGTGTCGCTATCCTGAACTCTGGAGAGAGGAGACATCATGTGAAGGCTGGAGGAGTCCGACGGCTGCTTCTTCTTCTTAGGGATTTTAAACGGGGTTCCCATCTGCAGTGGGGAAAAAACGCAAATGGGCTCATGTTGTTTTCATTGTTGAAGTACGTTCTCGTTCACTACGATGACGTAGTGAAGATTTATCTTCATAGAAAATGTTTTAGGCTTGTTAGCTAAGGTTACAGAGCCTCTTCAGTTAACTCGCACTCGTTGTTTTAGTGTTTTGAATATGAAAATACAAGAGTTTCAGGCGAGTCTCTGCAATATCAGCCAGCGTTAACTAACGCTATTACCTTCTCTTCGTCCTCGGTGTGGAACAGGTTCACCTCCGGGGCTCTGGGCACTTTCAGTCCGGCAAGAAGTTTCCTTTGAGACACGGAAGGTGTGACATGTTTTTAATAAATCAACTAACTAACTGAGCAGAGTTTCACTGAAGAGTCCAAAGCGCAGGTGCATAAACAGTTAGCTAGCTTAGCTAAGGCTAATAAGAGGGGCTCCAGCTCAGCTACAGAATGATGTCACGACACGCAGTTACATGGTATTAGTTAAAAAAATCAGATTAAAAGCGAAGTAAACTGGCGTTTGTGGTTAGAAAAGCTCGGTCTGGTTAATATAAAACACAGCTAAGCTAGACTAGCTAAGATGTGATGTTTACTCTCAGCGCTCCGGGCGCGTGTAAGTGACGCACACTACCGCAGATCTGACTGGCTGCGTCCGAGATGGCGTACTTCCGCACTACTTAGTACGCGAGTGTGGTTAGTGGCTGTATCCCAAACTGAGGGTAGCTGTCTCGTATATCAGTGCCTTGGGTGTTTAGTGTCTAGCTGTGTCTTTTACCTATGAAGATGTCTTTTATACGGAGTCCCAAAGGTAACCTGGAGATTATTTTTAATAAGGCCTGGCACGAATCACTATATTGAGGCCATTAATTACCATATTGAGGCCACTATTTACAATATTGAGGCCACAAACTACTACATGGAGATCACAGATTACTATATTGAGGCCACAGATTACTATATTGTCACCTTAAGGGCTCCCTATTTTTACAAAAGCTTGCATACTAAACTTCTTACAATAAAAATGTGGTATTTTACATAAATGATTTAATGCCACAAACTACTACATTGAGGCCTCACGTTAATATATTTTCAGACAACAAATTTACATAAATTATTTGATGGAGATTATTTTTTAATAAGGCATGGCCACAAATTACTATATTGAGGCCATGAATTACTATATTGAGGCTACAAATTACCATAGCAAAGCCACTATTTACTATATGGAGGCCACTATTTACAACATTGAGGCCACAAACTACTACACTTAGGCCACACATTACTATATTCAGGCAACAAATTTACATAAATTATTTGATGGTGATTATTTTTTAATAAGGCGTGGCCACAAATTACTATATTGAGGCCACAAATTACTATATAGTCACCTTAAGGGCTCTCCACTTTTAAGAAAGCTTGCATGCTAAACTTTTTACAATCAAAATGTGGTGTTTTACATAAATGATTTAATGGTGATGATTTTTTTAATAAGGTGTGGCCACAATTACTATATCGAGGCCATGAATTACTATATTGAGGCTACAAATTACTACATTGAGGCCACAAACTACTATATTAAGGCCACAAATTAATACACTGTATTTTAAACACATATTTTTGGAATGGGATTTGAAAAATGTGTTTTTGTGAATAAAATCATTAGCACCACATTCAAGAGCAGTATTAGAATTCGTGTACACACAAAATACATCTTTCATGGTAAAACTCTGACTCTGATTTATATAGAAGTACAGACTTTCTTTCCAAGCATTATTTCTTTTGTCATGGACACGCCCCATCATGTCTTTGGTGTCACGGTTTCCTCTTTGTTCTAGACTGTGTCTGTTTCTTCCCCTCTGTCGTCGCCATGTGCCTTTTGTTTTCTTGTGCCATGTGCTTTTGTTGTTGTTGTTCTGTGTCTCCTTCCTGGTCCTGCCACCTTGTTATCTGCTCCACCTGCCTGTAGCTCCGCCCCCTCATTAGTTCCAGGTGTTTCTTGTTTCCCCTCAGTGTATTTATACCCGTGTTTGTTCAGTCTCTTTGTCTTGGATGTTACCTTATCACTTGTTTTTTTTGATCAAATGTTTTGTTAAATGTGATTACAATAAGAGCAACTCGCACTTATATCCCGCCTCCTCAACTGCAATGTTAAATCTGAGCACAAACGTTTTAAAATGAGCGTCATGTGTAAGTGCGTAGTTGGCAAGTGGGTCTCTCTCATTGTGTATCTGTGGGTACTCAGCTGTAACTGTGTGCCACATATGAGCCACACCTTCAAAATATGCTTACTTTACAGTATGTGGACCAAAACTGGGCCAGAACCCTTAGTTCTACTCACTTTACAGTATATGGACCAGAGCTGGGCCGGAACCCTTAGTTCAGCTCACTTTACAGTATATGGACCAGAGCTGGGCCAGAACCCTTAGTTCAGCTCACTTTACAGTATATGGACCAGAGCTGGGCCAGAACCCTTAGTTCAGCTCATTTTACAGTATATGGACCAGAACTGGACCAGAACCCTTAGTTCTATTCACCTCACAGTATATGGGCCAGAGCTGGGCCAGAACCCTTAATTCTACTCACCTTACAGTATAAGGGCCAGAGCTGGGCCAGAACCTTTAGTTCTACTAACTTGACAGTATAAGGGCCAGAGCTGGGCCAGAACCCTTTGCATTACTCACTTTAAAGTATATGGGCAGAATCTATATTTCTACTCACTTTGCAGTATACGGGCCAGATCCCTTAGTTCTATTCACTGCACAGTATATGGGCCAGAACCCTTAGTTCTACTCACTTTACAGTGTATTCAGCCAAAACCGGGCTAGATCCCTTAGTTCTACTCACTTTACAGCATATGGGCAAGAGCTGGGCCACATCTGTTAGTTGTACTCATTTTACAGTGTGTGGGCCTCATCCGGGCCACATCCATTAGCTCTTCTTGTTTTACAGTATATAGGCCAGATCTAGGCCGAGGACCTTGCCAGAACTTGGCCGGAACAAAACCAAGGATGTGGCCCACAAGTGGCCCAGATAAATTTTGCTAACTGGTCTCTCACTCTCATTCTGCTGACCAGGATCACTGACCGCTGTTTGTGGATTAAATGTATCTAAAGCAGCCATATGAGCTTATACACTTTAAACCTTGTACAGCATGACCTTTTACGCACCTCCTGTCAGCTATGATGCATTTAGGCTTTCTTTTTTCAGTAGTTCAGCGTCTGCACCTTTGTCATGTCAACTTTCAGGGAAAAATACCTGCTAAATAAAAGGCCTTTAGAACCATTTGGATTAAAAGCTGACGGTTTTGCCTTCTAATAGGAAATGGCATAATGGTTACCATTAGAGACCACTTCCTGTAGGATTCCTTTAGATCCCATTAGGGAACCATCAAATGCATCTGGAATCAGTTTCAGAGCACTTCTTAATGATATCAATACAAAATAAAACACAAAATATCATTACAGACTTCTGGATACCACCAGGAACCATAACTTGACGCAGAGATGAAGCAGATAATTGTGAAGTATCATGTAAATAATTGCTGTAATTATGAATACAGCAGCAGTAGCGATAATCACAAAATTTAAATATATATATACATAGGTTATATTTACTGCTACTGTAAAAGACTGCAACATGGGATTCATGTTCAGCAGAACATTACACTCATGCCCGATTTTGGGGTGTCTACATAACCCATTAGCTTACCCAGGCCAGAGAAGCTGAAGTTTGTGTAATATTTACCGTTTTTGGCTGAAGTTTAATGTTATGCTCAGTTTAAGCCTGTCTGTGGTAAAGTACACATAAAGGCCATGTATTAAGAGTAATTGAGCTATATGTCTGCCAGTAATAACCGGTTAAACCCTAAGCCAAAACACATTACAAAACCTTAAGAAACCAAAAGAAACACTTAATGGTTTCTATGGTTTTTTCAGCAGGGATACGTTCAAAAACAAAAGGCTTGAGATAAAGTTTTATTCCTGCACATGTAGCATTAGGCTTGGTGTACACTACACAACTTTTAAAATCTTAACAGATTTCTAAAATGGAGAGCATCACAAACTTATCAGTTTGTCACAGAATATCTTGTCTTTTTGTTGTGAATGGGTGAAATGAATGGGTTAAGATGGAGCGTTTGAGCAAAATCATAGTTTAGAAATGCTTAAACATTTTTAATGTAAAAAGAATACATTTATTTCCTGAACACTGAACAGCATAAAACATTTTAACACTGCTGTTATGTTTTTAAGAGCTTTAAAACTCGAGTTATAGGAGAACAGCCACAGAGCTGCTCCGCTCGCCAACCAATCAGCACTCAGTAGCAGTAATGCTAACCAATCAACACTCAGTAGCAGTAATGTCAGCATTCAGCTGCACAAAACCCATTTGCTGTAGAAAAAAAGGAAATATATTGGTAATTATTCTTTGGTTTTTTAGTGAAATACGTTCCTCTACTTTCTACAATTAAAAGTGATTATAAACTATTTTAACTTCTCGTTTTTAGCCGTTGAGCTCCATTACTCCGCCCACTGCTGTTTTCTAGTCCTGTTGTTGACATAACGGTGGGGGTCGGGGGTCGGGGGTCGGGGGTGGGGGGCAGGAAGTGGCCAGGCTCCTCATAAACCGGCTGTGCTCTGGTTTGAACTGTGGTCTGGTAAGAACTCAAACTCCCAGACCTCCTCAGAGATCACATGACACAAACAGCGCTGTTTGTGCTTTTATGCGCAGTGAATGCGCAAACTGGTGGTTAATGTGGGCTGAGAAGCGCTGATACAGCGACAGCTGGACAGCTGAGCTGAAATTGTAAACAGAGTGACCTGACGTCTGGATCCAACATTACAAACATGATGAACTGCTCTTATCCGCCTGTGTTTCACACGCAGCTCCTCTGTTTGATCGCGGGGCTAAAGATCCACTCGTTTCTCCACTTACACTACCAGATCATCCGCGCAGTCAGTCGATTCTGATGGAGCTCCTGACCTGGAAATGGCTTCAGAGTGTGAAAATTTGCCGCAAGGGGCGAATCGGGCTTAAAGACCCCTTTACACTGTGATATCAACCCCTCAGGAGCCACAAAATACCACTACAGTCTATAGGACACCGCCAGAAACCACTGGTGATTTTGTCAGTAGGGATGAAGCCAGCGGTTCGTAGTTAAGTATCGTGTGAATAGCTGGTGTAATTATAAAGAAAGTAACAACAATAATCACAAAACAAAACATTCAGATTATGTTTTACTTTGCATGTGAAGGAGTACAATACAGGCTCGCAACACAAAACACCAACAAGCCATTACAGACTCGTTCACGCTACCTGCACGTATAAAACAGAACACCTGAGAACAACAGGGCGAATTAGTGTAGGCGGCCTGTAAACCAGGAGCTGGCGCCGCGTCAGCTCTGAGGACGTGCTTTTCAAAAAGCGTCTAAAAATTCAAATCATCACAACTTCAACAGATTTTAACGTATATCCACGTAAATCAAAGAAAAACACTTGCGGAAAAGACTGATTTGCTCGTTTGAATTCGAAGCTCCGCCCCATGTACACGCCCCTTAATGGTTTAGGAGTTTAGACTCCTTTAATACAGGTGAGCTGGGTGGGTCTGTTCCGCGTGTAGGTGCTTTATA